TTACAGAATGATTCCACAGAATAAAAATACGAACTATTGCAAATCTAGTCTGCATGAACTGTTTAAATTTATATTAATTAGCGTTACACGACGAAAAACAGCTGTATCAAGGTTGCATCTACTTAAACGATAATTTTATCAAATTAAGGAGGTCAGGCCGAATGCACGACATAAAAATTATGCAATTATCCAATAACATTACCAGATTTGGGTTAAGGGGTTATTTATATTCCCAGTATCGGATGTTTGGTGTGGGATCCATGTTTGCACGCTAACTGGAAGTTACATAGGGTGGATTACATTGTAAACTCTCGGTAAACACGGTTAATGATGTTAATTGAGAAAAGAAACGTTTCGGTGAAAATATTGTTTCGAGTTTCGTGATTGTGTTGTGTGCTTTTGTTGACTTCTGTGTACTTATAATGTTAGTACTTGGGAAATTTCAAGTTGTAACTGCGTGAAAAATATATGTATATTTGTGTATGTTATTTAAACTTTAAAACTAGTTAAGCAGCAACCATGAAGTTGTTTGCCGATCATTTTATTGCCAGGTATCAGGACCAGACGGTTATGTTAACTTGACAAATCTATATTTATATTCATCTGTTTGAGATATTAGGAGCCAAAATTGAAAATATGTCTTATTTAGTAAATGTGTCGATTGACCCGAGACTAGACTGTTTGCTGTTTCTCATCAACATTGGAAATTGACGGACATTTTTACAAATAATATATTTGAAAGCTTTAACATTTTCATTTTTCACATGGCATTAAGTATATAATTTAAAAATCGAAAATAAATCAAAATAATGTGCGACTCGGGCAGGACTTGAATCGGCATCGTTAGAGTTCCGTGCTGTTGCTGGACTCAGTAACATTATTAAATTTATTTTCGATTTTTTAACTTTAAAATTTCCCTTGCTAAAATACATAACCTGTTTTTTAGATATGGTAACCCTTGTGCATAGGACCGGTTCACACTTTGCCGATTATTTTTATTTTATACGTACGCACAATAATACTATTTGTGATTTTTAAAACCTTTACATATATTTTCAACTCTATCAGAACGGCTATCGCGCCCAAGTATAACAATAACAACGTCGAAAGAATCGTAAATGAACCTATTTTCTCTGTAAACAATTAAACATTCCTACACGACCACACACGAGATACGTTTTTGGTTATTATGCCGTTCAATTAATTTATGCAAATTGTCTATGGAATCATGTAGTATCAAATATGGCAGACAGCCAGATCGGTTTATCCTTTAAATGACTCACGATTTAACTAACAGAGAATAATTATTATCTTAGGATTATCAAAACACAAAGTAAAATTTTATTATTTCGTACACTTTGAAATAATATTATGCCCGCTTTTTAATTTATAATTCTTCCATATTGAATACTAGTGAGGTGAACAGTAATAGTGAGAAAGTAGAGTTAGTAGTAGAAGTAGAAGTAGCTATTTAGCGCTACATTACGAAGATGTTTATCGATCGATTCTGTTTAAACTCAAAGGAGGATATTGTTTTGGAAAATTAATAAACATTCTTACAGCATTACAGCTATGAATTCCTAATATACGAATGGCAGTAGCTTACTAAATAGGGCCTCATTTCATCTTGTAAAATTCAGGGACTTCACGTGTATTGATATAATAAGTAACTATTTCCGTAATCAAGTAGTAGTACAGTAGTTACTTAAAAGCCTTCTATTACATGTTGTTATTAGATAGTCATTAGTCTATTAGACAGAGAAATACCGGATATTGGAAAATGGGGTTATGCAGGAAATTTGTGTATCGATCCACTCTTGGGAACCACTTCTCTTGATTGTGTAGACTCACCGTTATATACAGAAACTATAAGTATTAAATATGATGTTTGCATAACGTATATACTATTATTAGCCTTCAAAAGGATACCTGTAATATATGAAAATTAGAGAGATATTTCGAATGCTTTAAAGCAGCTTATACGAGGGAGCTTTATTATCATACTGACATATAGATTTCTCGTTTACAACAATTAAAAAGTATTTTAGCTGTATATCACTCGTGTATACTACAGAATATAGTTAAATATAATAAGGTAGAAACTTGAATTAACATAGAAGATTAAACGCCCTTAGAGGACTCCCTATGTTTGTTTTTTGAATAATGAAATATACTAAGAGAACACTCTATATCTTCTAAGGGGTGTATAATTCCTTTTGAAAAACATGAAATTGTTTTACAACATCCTTAATAATCGAATCCATGACCTATCGATTATCATTAGCCCATACTACCATCTAGCTTTACAAAAGCTTTATTTTTACACATCTCTATCAATTATAATCTGTTACTATGTACAAATTAGCTCGCCATTAGCGATAACCTGTGGTCCATTAGATCATTAGAGTTCACTGAATAATATTGTATGGCATTATAACCTGTATTCCATTTTAATAAGCAACAAAATGGAATGCAGCTATATCGGTGCTATGAAGTGGTATATTATCAAGTAGTTCAAATATGAAAAAATGCGCAATTTAGGTCAATTACTTGCTGTTTGGTGAGATGATTTTGTAATCAACAGTACGCATTGCAATAATAAATAAAAATAATTAGTTATTAAATTACTTAAGATTTGAAACAAACAGATTTCTTATGATAGAGGAGGACCGATGAGCATGGTTTAAATGAAACATTTTAACGATTTAAAACGCGATATATATTAGTTAAACTTATTTTAAAATTATTTTAATCACCGCTCCCACAGTCTCCCCATGGCTGGTGCAAAGCATACGAAATGTCGGGCCGTAGTTGAAAAATTTACAAATAAGTTTAACTAATATATATCGCGTTTTAAACCATTGAAAATGTTTTCTTTTTTAATGTGTACTACTCGCGTAAACTACGAAGCGTATTTAGATGAGCATGGGGGTCAATAAGATGTGTTGTCAAGCTATCGAATATACTGAATGAAAGCGGAATGAGTTTTCGTATTTACGGCTTCGCCAATAGGGTACGGTGGCTCTAGAACCAGGCGAAAGTTTCACCTACCCTCGATTTGATGTTTATATGCTTATCTCAGACGATGAAAAATGTTGCACCAGGTGGGAATCGAATCTACGATGGTGCTCATTGTCAATACCTTGCTGCTGTTAACATGACAATGATATAAAAATGTTTTTTTCTACCGCATTATATCGCCGGTAACGCTATTAACATAACAAGAAAACAAGGCGTTAAGCCTTCCAGGAAAATAAGGGTAAGGACCGGAGGAAATATGACGCTTATAAGATTATTGTAATCTTATCCACTAATGTTATGAGCATATTTTCATAGAGGTTATTGAGCTTTGCGCGCACAAATATGTAGTGGGCATGTGCTATCGTTCACAAATATCTATTTTAAGGGTTTCAATATTATCTGCATTTGATAATAAACCCGGACCTACCGTAAGTTACTATAGAGTGGCCTAATTGGTCGCTAACAGCAGATAAGAGATGCACACTCCATGTGAAAGCAAAAACATAAAGGCTGGTCTACACATCTTAAATCATTTCAGCGACGGCATCCTTATTTACTGTATGTTAAGAAAATGACGTTATATTTATTTTGGCTTTGTTACCTTACACGTTTCTTCAAATTCAGCATACGTTTATATCTTCGTCTTTAATTTCTCAAAATATTGATTTTGTTTAAAAATTTATTTTATATAAATTTCTGTCTATTAGTTTACATTTAAATCTTAACTTCCAATATTTTTTATACACCAGAGATTTAATAGAGCAAATAACTACACATCATTCCACACTAACACTCGTTGACCTTAATATTCGATTAACTTCTTAACAAATTGGTGACAAAGATTAACAAGAAACTTTACTAGTAATGGCATGAAAAACTCAGTATATTAGGAAATACGTAATAAAAATAGAGTTTACGCTAATTACATATATATTTAGAAATAGAAAATAAAGCGAACTTAATGAGGATGTACTGTCATGATCATCAGTTAATTGGTGATTAAGCATTTAATTGTCGATAGGTTACTCAACTTATTGAAAGTTTATTGACATTACAATTAAGTGTAGGTGTAAGGCTCTAGTTGAGAATTAATAACTAACAGATAAAGATGAAGACTTATAACTATTTAAGTACGATCTCCAGAAACAAAAATGAAAATAGCTAAATTTTCAAGCTGCAATAACAACAGTTGTAAATATAAAAGTACAGATGGAAATGTATAAAAAAGGTTTTTACAATATATATAGGTACCGTATCAAAATTTACAAAAAAAATCATTTATTTACTTTGAATTATCGCATATAATCTGCGAAAGACAAGCCCTTCTAAGAAAATAACTCTTTGCGATTGGTATACAATAAAAAACAAAAATAGACCAATACTGTGCACTTGGCCGTCTAAGTTTATTGATTCAATTGTTTCCTTCCGTTCTCTTGGGATTTGCGTTCCGTTGAAATTTTTATTAATTAACAATACGTCATATTATTGGACTTCTACAAACCCGATTGCAATATTAGTCACGTCTCATAAATAATAGCGTGAATAACCAGTACTTTTTAAAATACAACGTTACGTCAAAATGCTAGAGAAAAATAACTAAACTAAAATTAAAAAAAAAACGTATTTTTATTGCCTTGGTATAAAACAAGAGACGGTTCAGTACGTGATACTACGAAGTTTAATAATGCCTTATTATGTTTTGTTTGTCTTTCGATAAGCCATTTGCGAATTATGTTTATATAATATTGTCACGTAGTTATCACTGTATGAGATATCGACCCTGAAAATGCCAGCTTTGTCTTGGATTCGATTTAATACAAAATACTTTCTATTCGTAAAGGAAGAGGGAATATTAATAATGTGATGCAGAAAATAACAAGAGCGTATTATACTATCTACCCACTACTATTTAATTAAAATTTGATAGAGTAACAATGCCTATAAGTATTAGTATATAGATTTGAAAGGAAAAAACTTACTTCGTAAGGATCGTTGCACCAATTACCACCACATCGGATGCATTCGTCACAGCCCCCTATGTCTCCAATATTCGAACAGTCGCGATAACTTGCAAAAATCCCTCGACTCGCTAAAATAGTTAACACAGTAATCCACAAAAACGCCATTTTGAAATAAAATTATAATTACACAGATAAAACTTCACTAGCGAATAAAGACTCCGTGGTTGAACTGTCGCGTTCGAAATTCAAATTGGAATTCGACGCGCCAACACCGCGGCGCGTTTGGTCACAGACTGCATTAACATCGCTCACGGTTCCCTTCATCAGACTTGAGATGAATCATCGCGTCGCTTTGAGGAAATTTCGCGGAAACTCGCTTTTTCTTTTTAATACGCTAAAAAATTTAACGGTATTGTTCGAGTGTGATTCTTATATTTGTTTTTTTTTGTAAGTCAAAAGAGGCGTAACGTATTATTATTTGCAACAATTTATAATTAGTTTATAAAATTGATGTTGTGATTATTTAACGAATAACAAATTTCGAACTGCTACTTTATTGGTGGTATATTATAACTCTTTTAGATTAAATTATTTTAAACATTAATAACTGAAAATCTAACAGGAGTTTTAACATGTAGAGTGTAAAAATACGTGTTATAGATATCGTATTGATTACTAGGTAATTTATTCTTAATAGCGATGGCTATAAAACAGCAATACGTATTGATTATTCAAATATGAATTAATGTTATTTTCCAGATTGTGTGTTATTTTTGTTACTTTTTGGTAGAACTTTTTGGTTTTGAATAAGACTTCAACGATTTTTTAAATAATATCTTTGATAGATGTTTTTTGTTTTTTAATATTTAATGGCCTTTGGTAGATGGAAAAATAGGCAATAGACAATATAGATTTTTAGCAAAAGGTTTACTTTTTAAATTGAACGTGAAATATTTGCAAAAATAGAGTCAATGCTTCTACTCCAGTGGTCTTCAATGTTAGATGTCGTGTTTCGCTTTTGATGTTTCAGTTTATAATTATTTTTATGTACATATACTTAATCATTCATTCTCAACTCAGTACTGTAGGTCTAATTTAAGATGAATATTATTTTTGTGTGACGACTTAACCGTCTTAATGTATTAGACAACCGCATATTATAGGCGTATTGCTTCAGGTCAGTATTTCAACAGATCTGACCGTGGAATCTGTTTTACTGAGTAGAATCGGACTCCGTTTATATGTACTTTGGAGATTTAATATATCCTTACGCGAAAGAGAATCTTTCGATTGCGCGTTTTAGGAACCCCTTGCTCTACCACCACGAAAAGGCGCCACACAAAGGAAACCAGTTCTTCACTAGCGTAATGTCGTGGAATATGTTTTGTATTTGTCCTGTTCCATATTCTTATAACATTTATAATAGAAATTATTTAATTGCTAATAAAAAGGATTCCTTCCAATTTTTATGACTTATAAGCAAAATCTCTTGTAGAGTTGGTCAAAAAATTAAATAAAACATTATTGTGATGAAAATCTTATAAGAAACTAATAGCACTAATTAAAAAACGTTTAAGAAACTGAATTTTATATTACATTTGATACACGCTAAACAGAGCCATCTATTGGACATTTTATAGACTTAATAGATGTCCTGGAGGTCTAGAATTATGCACATGCGTTCTTTAATAAATGTAGGTTCAATGCAATGTCTCCTTAGAGCTTAAAACATTTTTATGTCCATAAAAAGATTAGCTTCATCATATAAATAAAATATAGCAAGGTAGGCCTTGCTATATTAAATATACTAAATAGAAGTACGACAACTCATTTTATCTTATTTACTTCACTTTGTAAATTAGTAATAATGTAGATAGATGAATAGATCCAAATCTAAAATAGATATTTTAATTACCGCGACGCATCCACTCATTTAAAGATACCAGTTTACATTTGTCAGTCTATCCTTAGTTAGTTAGTCTACTTATCTAGTTAGAATTTTTTTTTCTATAGTAATTTAGTTTAAAGTTTTATGTAATGTTAACATAATAAAATATTTTTAATTTATAAGCTTTAACTTATTTACTTTCTTCTTTTTTGCTCTTAGCGTTCAAGTGATCATTATTACATAAAGAAATATAGTATGCTATGATTATTATTATCTAAATAAGTAATAAACTATAGTAAAAGTTTTCATGGACTGCCAAAGATATAGTTTTGATAGCCGTGTTCGTCTTATTGTTTATCTATGGGCGTAGCCACTTAACTGAATCAAATGACACTAGTACCACAGATTATAATTATTCAATTGACGTAACATACCGTTCGGACAGATTAAAAACTGCACAGAATATAAATTATAAAATGTAAAAAATGGTTTTATAAGATATACTATAGGTAAAGATGATACTAATAAATAGATCGTTTCCTAAAAGCTGGGTTATGAAACGTCCTAGATGCAGATTCGTACAATGGGTTCTCCAAACTTTTATCACTTTGCGACAGTTCCTTCTTGAAGAGCTCGTACTCCTTCTTATCGCGGTAGTCAGTGACGCACTTCCATGCAAGGAGTATCAGTAACCCAAGAAGAATGAGAACTCCGACTATAACGCCTCCGAGTGCTGGGAAGAAAGGAGAAATAATTAAAATAAATTATACTGATAAAATAATTTTACACCTTATAACATACTAGTATAGGAAATGTAGGGTTTAAATAAATCACTTTAACTGTTTAAAACGCGAAGTATATTAGTTAAACTTATTTGAACATTATTAAAATTAATTAAATAACTTAAATGTTTCGCGTTTACTGTTAAAATTGTTTCATTCAAATAAAACTACTAAATTAATTACTTACTGTAATAACTTTCAGCACAGTCAAGGTCTGACTGTACAATAAGATCAATGCCGTAACGAGTCTCGGAATATCTGTACACAAATTTTGTATAGCATCCAACATCAGCTCTCAAATTTGGACACTCCATCCACGTCGTGTCATTTATCGTGGCCACGGTGGTACCATTCACATGGTCACAGTTACACTCTTCCTCATTTAAATGACATAATGCACATGTCTCCAGGATGTGACATTGTGATGAATGGCATGACGCGCATGGCAAAATCATGCAATGTGCATTTTGCTCGTCTCTCGCATCCCAAGCTGCTATAAGTTGGCATGTGCAGTTCCCGCAATCACATGTACCGCGGTTATTGCAGATCTGAAATTACTAGCCATTGTTATTTGATATCTAATTTGTCTTTTTTTTTATAAATGTTATAATGTACACACCGCCATCACCATGACCGCCTCTGTAGCTAAATGGTTAAATGTGTTGCCTAGCATTGCGTTAAGCGTTAGAGGTCCGGGGTTCGAATCCCGGGGAAACAGTAAATTGTTTCGGTAGGGGCAGGGCACAGAAATGTGTTCGCCCTATGCCCCACGAGGGTAAACGGTATTTCACACAATGCGCACACACTTATTAAACCTAGAAAGAAAAGTCTTTCAAAAAAAAACAATTAATAAAAAAGTTGATGACTTCTGTGCCATGGGAGAATGAAAAAAAGATCCCTGGAAATCGTACTCGGGAGCTTTCGCATTTAAAGTACTGTACAACATAGATTATTAAATAGTCTGCTTATTAATAAAAGTACTACATACAGACAGGAAGCTCTACTTAGGTATCTGAGATGTCTTAGACCACATTTAACTGAACAATGTTTAATGTTTTCTCTTGGCTAAGAAAGTGGGATTTAACGAGAATCCCAGCTGGCTTAACGTCACTTATGGTTTGTAGGCTCAAAAGGGCTTATAAATGTACCTCCCACGTAGTTATTATTTAATTGTGATAATGACAAGATTTAAGGTTTAGTAATTATAATTCTAACTACTTTGTAGTTGTAATGGTAGCTATGGATGCCCTCCCTCCAACCCCGTGCTAATAATCAACGGACGTGGGTTCGATCGCCACCGGATTCAACATTATTCTAATTTATTTATATATTTTTTGAATCATGTTGGGACTTCGTCTCTACATCTAGATAATAAACGACTGGTAAGAATATCGAAATTCCGTTTGGGTTACGAACCACCGTCCACAGATGATGCCGCGAAGTTTAATTGCGCTACGGCTTTAGTCTGTAGATTTAATAATACCAGAATATAGGTCGACAGTGCTTCTTGTTTAGATATTATATTGGGGTATTGTAGCTACCATCAAGCGAACCTTACTCTTGTCTATCCTCCTCGATAGTAAAAAAGTTTAATATGCTGTAGCTGAAAATTACTCTGCCACACGCTTATGGCACGTTTAAAACTAGATTACTCATAATCATAATTGAATCACATTCGCTAGCTTTTTCAATCGTAAATATATATTTAATAAATTTTATCATGCGCGTTATAGTGTTTAAAGGTTTAAAATCCCATACAATATCTCCATCTGAACAAAGACTTTCCGAAGTGGGGCAAGAGCAATCGCTGCTCGACCAGCCTTGCTCACACCTGCAGGTACCGCAGTCGCATTCTCCAAGGCTCGAGCAGATGTGCCCGTTTGCACCACGAGGACAACTGTCTTCGTTGCATTCGCAATATTGTCCCTTGTACCTAATACAACAAATATTATAAGTAATTTGTTACAAGTAAAGAACGTAATAATAATAATTGACGGATTCGTTGGTGTCATGGTTACTAATCAACGGGTGGTAGGGTAGGGATACCCACCGGCTCCAACGTGTTTTTAATTTTTCTGAAACATGTTGGACTTCGCCTGGAAATCTGGATATTAAATATAGAAATTCCGTCCGGGTCACGAACCACCGTCCACAAATGAAAAAGCCGTGAAGTGTAATTGTGTTTTGGTTTGTGGTATATTGCACAGTGAAGCGCAATCTTGTGTAGATGTTATATGTCTAATTCACCTCCCATTAAATCAACCCCGAACTTGTTTATCCTCCTCTTTCATTAATAAATAACGTTAGCCCAAATAATCCTTGCCAAGTGCAACATGCAACACGCGTTAGGGTTTCGCACCTCTCGTTATCTAAAATGTATGTTCTTTTGTGTGTGTGTCATTATTTTATATTATTGTGTTTACTTTATCATATTAAAATTTGTATACAAAATTAGTAGTCTAACTGTTAGTTGATGTCGAGCAAATTAAGGCTAAAGAATACATGTATTGTATAAGATAAGTCCTCAAATATTTATTATGTTTTTAGGTTATTCTAGCTGCTACAAAGGACACAATTTATGGAAATCTTGGTAAAAGGGTTTTTTAGTATTGAATCCTAAAAAGTCAAGTCTTCTTTTACATTATGTAGAGCAAGGAGCAGATTTTTTTGTCTGTTTGAACGATTGAGCACTAACCGTTCTTTGCACATACATGATCCGCAAACACATTCGCCATACCCATTACACACTTTATCTGAGTTGGGTGGTATACAAGTTTTGTTGCTGACGTCATTGATGTTGTTGCCTCGGCATTGGCAAGTGTCTCCTAGACTGAAAAGAGATTCTTACTGTAAGTATTGTTGTTACTACTATACTAAGTATATGATTATGTATAGATATTTTCTTAATTAAGTGTTAATATTAAAAACTTGGAGGTTAATTAAAAGATATCTGTTTCACCTTTACAAAGCATGGTACGAATAGAATTTTGTGTTCATCGGATAGATTGATTTAAATAAAACACTTTTAACAGTATAAAACGCGAGATGTATTGGTTAAATTTATTTACAAATTAAAATATTTCACGGTCATAAGGCACAAACTAGAACTGCTGCAAAGCATCCGAAACTTCGAGACGTAGTTAAAATTAGTAAAACTTATACATTTCCCATACTAAACCGTTAAAAATGTTTTTTTTTTATTGTATGTTACCACTTACGTAAAGTGTAGATGATAAGGACAGATTTATTATTATTTACAGGATAGTATTTGATGAGATTTCTAAGGGAGACACAGGATCCATACCATAAAAGTATCTTGTATCTAGAAAAATCTTTGTTCATATAAAAAATTTATAACAAACCTTCCTTTATTGCATTCACAAATACCGCATCTCTTAGTGCCTCTGGAAGAACAGAATTTGGAGTCGGCTTCACTTCTGCAATTACACGATTCTATAATTTCAATATCTAGCGTTAACTTCTCCTTAATTCCTTCTATAATCACGTCTATGCTTTTATGTTCTCCACTGAAATACTTCAATAGTTTTATCGTCCCGTTCATCTCTTTCTCTTCGCCGGGTTTCACTTTACAATCTCTATCGTTCTTGGATAGGCAGTCTGGATTAAACGATATTTCGAAGTATTCTCGGTATTCCGACTTCATGTTGATTCTCAATTTTAAGTTGCTGGTGATTTCCTAAAGTTGAAAGGGATTATTTAACAGCTAACTCTACATTTTATATTTATTTCACTAATAATACAAGAGGACAGTCTTTATATATTAAATAAAATACGTTTACGGTTTTAAGGGCGAAACATAAGAAACAGATGGCGCTAGTGTAACAGTTTTTACATTAGTTCATCAACCTACAACGTCGTGTTGTAATTAAGAAGCCATTAAATAAATATTTACTGCGCGTATTAAACTAAACCATGGATTTTAAGAAATTAAAATTCATAGATAAATCTAGAATGTTATTATTTTTTTGCTTAATATACCATACTTTAGTTCTCAAAACATATCACAATGTAAGATTTAAGCAATTTACCTGGTATATAGAGCTCAGAATGGTGACCATGTCCTTTTTTTCGTAGTTAGTGTATCTAGATCCTGTCACAGCAGCAGTTAACGCTCTATAATCGTTGACATGATCAGTGTCAACAGCAAAAATTACCGTCATTTCTTCTTCTGTCGCCAATTTATTTATCAGACTTACTGACGGATAATCCAAGTCTAATTCTTTTGTATAGATTCCATCTTCACTGTAACATCTACCATCAAATGGTCGCATAATACCACCATATTTACCATCACCAGCGGCGTGGAAGGAGCTATCTGTTAGCACAATAATGATCTTTCTAGATTCCTTCCTCCAGCCAACAGTGTTGTTGCAAACCATAACTTGCGCAAGCGCATCTAGAGTTCCTTCCTGGGTGTCGTAGTTTAACCCGGACTCCGTATTCTTCACGATTTCTTTGAAGTCTTGAAAACTTTCGGTTAATCTCAAACGATTTTTATACGAGTAAGCGAGAGTGTTGTTTATTATGCTGAAAAAAAAACCGTAAATGAGTTGTGTTAATGATAAATACAATGTTTTTGAAATCAAAACGAACTTGTATAACGTAAATCGTAATATAGTTTAGTAATAGTAAGTTTTCGTAAACTTAAGGCCATAAAATACTGTCTGTAGTTTGCGCGAGTACTACACATTTAACCGTTTAAAACAATTTTAAAACGTTAAAGTGTTTTATTTAAACTTAAGGCATTAAAACAACTTTTTTCTTCTAGTTTTACAAAATGATATGGTGTAAAATCTACGAATAAGGTAATAGTAATGATTTTGAGACTTACTTCGCATATGGCAAAGTATTCTTATCAACGAAAGTCCCCATTCCTAGAAGTACATTTTTGGTCATGTTTTTCATAGTTCTGTATATATTCTCACTTTGGTTACTAGTCTTTTCTTTAATGGGTTCCATAGACTTGGACGCGTCCATCAGGAAATATAAATCAACCGGGTAGTCCTTTGCATTCTTATACGAGAACTGGAAATATACTGTTTCACCTGGGCGAAGTTTGAGTTTAAGGCTTTGTGGTCTTATTTGAATCACGTTCCCCGTATCTGAGGAGAAATTTTGGTTTTCTCCAACATCTATGTCACTTTTTGGTTGTATTCTATCACCAGCGCACCAGTCGCTTTCAGAGTCCAAATCGAGACTGGACATACATCGTGTAGCATTGTAGCTGTCCTAGAAAATAAAATATGAAACTTACCGGACAATAAATAGCTAAAACGCGAACTGGCTGTACACATATTAATTTTTTAATCTAGACCAGAAAAATTAAAAAGACCGGAAATATAAAGAATACGATACGAATAATCGGGACTGTATTTTATTATAACAATTAAAGTAAATAACATTTACTCTTTTAAATAGCATTTGTGACTATCTTTCTGGGTAGTTTTTAGGGCTATTAGACCGGAATAAGTGAGAAGGGGCTCTTATAAAATGTAGTCTCCTACCAGCATGTATATGTCCTTTTAATTTTAAATTGTGGCCTATGACCCTAGAGAAAAAGGCATTTTGGTTGTAAGTTTAATCAAAACTTGACTTACCAAGGCGCACCAAATACAATCACTCGGTTCTCTTATACAATCTTCACATGTCATTTGTTTTTCACAAGATTTCACATTAGCCGAAGCAGCACAAGAAAATATAACAAACATGTACAAAACACTCATTTTACAAACTAAACTATACATTTTAATATAATATTGGACCTTTAATGTGAACAGGAAAATGTGCTCCTTTGATATTACTATTTATAACTTCGTGACATCATTATATTCAATATTTGTCCCCTTGGGATTACTGTTTGAGAAGACACAGAAATTTTATAAAACAGAAACGATATATCACTAGTTATAAACAACTTTTAAGAGATCGTTCAAACATGTATACAAGTACATTTTAATTTTTTTTAAGAACCTAAATTTAAATAAAATACTTTAACGATTTAAAACGCGATATTTTAGTTAAATTTCTTTAAAATTATTTATAACTACGTCCCGACGTTTCGGATGCAGCAGTAGTGGTCACGGGGAGAACCTTAATTTTTAATTTTTAGGTATGTATTATTGAAAAAATAGTCAGTGTTACACACATACATACTATGATAGCAAAACATAATGACGATTATCTTTCAACCACTAAAGTATTATTTGAACAAATTTCCTGGTACACATCACATTTAACCATACACTTAGGCCCTGCAATGAAGTTCGCTTTTGTATTGTTATTAATTTTTCTGAAGAAACCGTTAATCTTCAGCGAATCGAATTGCAAAGATTTTGAAACATGTAGTGGTTGCATAGGATATGCTTATGATAAATGTGTTTGGTGCCCAGCAGTAAGTTTATATTAATATTATCATGTTTTAATTTACTTTGTAATAAACACTTATAACTGTTATTAAATCGTTAATAGTTTTTTTATCGGAACGTGCATTAATTGCGTGAACTACAATACAACATTTGAATTATACGAGGATAATAATAAATTAATCATTATTTATTTGGTAATAAATATAAAAAAGCCTTGAATAATAATTACAATTGTGACGTGTTAATGATCCATGATAATTTTAGGGACTCGGGCTTGAGATAGATTTTGTTCCTTATTCACAACCAGAGTTTTCTTAAGCCGAGTCCAGACGAGTGTAACGTGTAATGTAATCCACCGTGTAATGTAACAACCTGACGGCACTACGAGCATTATATGTAACGCTTGCGCGGCGTTCGGGGTTGATCCGTCAGCTGTCGGTTTTTCGCGCGAACACAAAGGTGCTTCGCCTCGCATTCTATTTGAGTTCGTCTGCCGTTCATACAGTTAACGCGTATTTCACGTAATCTTACATTACACGTTACACTCGTCTGGACCCGGCTTTAAATATTAAACACTTTGTTAACAGAATTACCATAGCGGTCGACGCTGCCAACCCTTGAAACACGCAACAACAGACGAAGCCTGGTGCAACGAAACATTCTACAATCCACCGCATCACGATTACAAGGTGACACAAAACTACGACTTCAATGCTGGCTCAAACGGCGAGAAAATCTACCAGTTCAAGCCCCAGGTAGCTCAGATTAAAGCTCGACCGGGTGCTTCTATACCCATAGAAATGTCCTACAAACCGGCCAAAGATTATCCATTGGATGTGTATTATTTGATGGATTTTTCGTTCACAATGAGCAAACATGCAGCGACACTTGTGAAACAGGCTGTAGAGATATACGAAGAGCTCACAAAATTGACTAACAACGTTCGCCTTGGCGCTGGAAGTTTTGTTGAAAAACCTGCTATGCCATTTGTTGAGTAAGTTATTTATATTAAAAATTGATTATGAATTGAAAAAAAAACGATACGGGTAGAATTTGAAGCGGCATCAACAGCATTCCGTGCTGTTGCTCTAACCGATTAAGCTAACGTACATAACGTCTCGTCGAATTTTTAACCTATTGCGCAATGTAATTTCAACTTTAAAATTTGCGTTGAGTTACGGTTTAGATTGAACTTTAAGTAGGATATTTTAAATAATTTTGGCTTCTATAATATGGTTTAAAAATGCCGTAAATAAAAATAAGACATCTAGTTCAAGTATCATAAAAATAATAATAAGCAAATAAAAATAAGGTAACGAGTCTAAAACGGGTTGACGTTCAAAGTTAACCTACGTTTTATCGTCATTTAACTATAGCAGGATTTGTTGGTTAAACTATGTGTTCTTTCGCCAATAGTATAGACACAATTTAAGTTAATTAACTTTGAATTACACCTATACTTAGAGGCATATTAATGTGTTCGGGTTATATTTTCTGGCGCCATTTTGTTAGATTAATTGAAGTGCAACAAGTTGGATTCAAATTTTTTAGAATAGATTTGCTTGTTAGCTCAGATATTGTACCGATCTTTTTATTGACCTGTCCCTTTAATGCACATACTAACTACAAATACAATTCCTCTTTTAAGTTACTATGTATCTATTTCCACTAATTATGTTTTATTATTTATTTTAGTGTGAGACACCAGAAATCCTTCTCGTTTAAAAACCATTTATCTCTAACAAACAACGTAACGTTATTCAATAAAAGTATCGGCAGTCCCGATGGTAGTAACTACGACGAGCCAGAAGCTGCATTAGACGCTTTGATGCAAGTTATGGTCTGCAAAGATGAAATTGGCTGGCGCAAAAATGCAAGAAGGATAATAGTTTTAAGCACTGATGCAACGTATCACAGCGCAGGCGACGGTAAATTTGTTGGTGCAATCAAACCAAATGACATGAAATGCCACCTTGAAGACAATATTTATTCAATGGCTCTGACATACGACTACCCATCAGTAGGTCAAATAGTAAAGGTGGCTACTGAGAATAACTTCAAAATCATTTTCGCTGTTGATGTTAGAGTGAAGAGGGCATATGAAGCTCTTGAGAAGAAAATAGTGGGAGCTAAATATGTGCCACTAAATGGCAACAATATGGTGAATATGATAAAAAACGAGTATTTGGTAAGTAAAGACATACATATAACTGATATCAGCACGTTGCAAACAATTTCCACATGCCAATTTAAAAGATCTTTTAGATAAATATTACTCTATTTATTTTTAATGTCGTAAGTTCCTTTCTCGGTGACAATAAGACTATATTTGAATTCAAATCGTAGGAACTTGTAAGGTCCGTGAAAATTGATGCAGTTGTACCACCTGGTATGCAATTGACGAGTTTAGAACCAGATTGCACAAAAGCAGACAATTGTTACATAAAACATGAACAATCGCTCGATGTTAAAGGAGTTTTGAAGATAACCTCGTGCCCTTTGAGTGAGGAAAATGTAAAATATACTATGGAAATTGGTCCAGTGTCGCTCGATGAGAAACTAAAAATTGAAGTCGAAGTTTGTTGCCACTGCGACTGTGAAGCGAAGGGAGAAGTTAATTCACCAATGTGCAGTGGTGCTGGTACGTTCCAATGTGGCGTGTGTAAATGTAACAAAGATAGGTAAGTGACCATAGCGAAATATGCTTCTAAAAAACAAATTCACTAAGGAGCCTAAACGTAAAAAGTTGTCAAAAAGTAATATAGAAATTAACTTGCCTTTTTTATTACGCTGAATTGATATTATATTGACTATATTTAAGGCTACTAGAGACAGAGTGGATAATGAGGAAAATAAAAATGTGGAATTAACTTAGGCGAAAATGAATTTGTACTATAATTTGTGTAAGGATTATGTTAAAAATTTTTGGTCACTGTGCTCTTGTAGGTTAACATTTTTAGATTATCAAATTTAATTATGTCAAGTCTTACAATTGCAGTTAGGGTACTTTGTCTCTAGTCTCGGTACTAACTGTAAAGTAATGCTCAGCCTTATTCTAGATATGGAAGTACCTGCAACTGTATAGGTGCTGAAACAAATTCTGTAAATTTTGACAAATGTAAAGCCAATAAAGATGATGCAAGCTATTGTAGTGGACGCGGAATCTGCAGGTAAGTTGTTTATTTAAAAAAAATAGAGACAGTTAAGGAATTTTGGTAGATATTTTTAGGTAAATAAATTATCGTACCTTAGCCAATTGGATCTTTGTAATGAATTTAAAGTTATAAAAATAGTAACAGTAGGATTCAAAGTCATTGAAGATTTTTGCTTTTCAGGTCATTATCGTTGGTGTATTACTACCTACTGGGACCTACTGTCAATTATTAAACAAAAAAAAAATTGGTTGTATTATCTTTCCAGATGCGGGAAATGCGAAGAATGTAAGCAGGGCTTTTCTGGTGATTTCTGCCAATTTGATGACAATTCCTGCCCAAGACCAGGCGGTCTTCTATGCGCTGGTCATGGTAAATGTCAGTATGGTAAATGCGAATGTGACGCTAATTGGATTGGCAATGACTGTCGTTGTCCAAATGACGAACAGAGTTGTATGGCACCTATTTCAAACGAGGTAAGATATGACTTATATGAATTTTTCACACAGATAACTATGCAGTGAGGAGCATATAATTAAATCTTTGTCATATTGCCCTTATCTACCCACGGAGTAAATTTTACCACAAAATTGTTTTGTAACTGAATGTGTACATTCTTAAATGAATAACAAAAGCCAATATAATTTCTGTACGTATCCTCAAATTGTGTTTGGAATGTTAATCCTTTATTACTCTCATTATATGTATAATGTATATGCTATCTAGGGAACCGAGTGTGTTTCTATCAGTCATAGCTTTTATAAACGTTTACACACATGTGTTAAAAATTCACAATACTATAGTGTTTCACTAAAGATTACGTTACGTTAGCAAATTTTCTTATAGCCAATGCTAGCTGCTTTAAACGTTGGTAAAAGAATTTTGGTTGTAAGTCAATTGTTTACGATACCTTTCGCCAGTCAGACAGTCAGTCATGAAACATTTTCTTATTAGTCTTCTTAAATGTTTAAAACCCCTGTACAGGTGTGCTCGGGCCGAGGCAAGTGCAACTGCGGCGAATGTATCTGCGAAAGAACAAACGCAACAGACGAAATATGTTCGGGAAGATTCTGTGACGACTGCGAGGAACTGACTCAGAAACGCTGCAAAGAATTAGAGGATTACGCGCTGTGCAACTTCAACTTTAACAAGACGTACTGCGACGAAGAATACGAGCAGGCCACTACCGGCGTGACTTTCCTTAACAAAACGGAAATGAACGATCCTGTCCACAAATACAAAGCAAAGTGGTGCGAGAAATACGTAGACGATGATAGGTCGCTGAAGTTCCTTTATTATTATCCACCGGCGTCCATAAACACGCTGGAGGTGGTTATTCAGAACGAATTGAATGAACGTGGAAAAGCGGATGTTTGGGGTAAGGCTCGTTAAGACTATTGAGTTGAGGATTTACAAAAAATATTTTGATATATTACAAACATTGTGCATAGTTTTTTTACTCTTTAACTGTAAACAGGATTTCAACCTGGATTTCTCACATACAGTCTAAATGTCCAGTCAATCAGCATGCACCACTTGATATAATTAATATAATTTTGATCTTAAGACACGAAAGCTCAACACGGTAAAACTTGGTACTCTATCAGTCTAACCCAGCGTGTGTTGTATAACGTTATTTTTTAAATATCCAACCTTTCGGAGCTTAGAAGGTTGGGCCGTTGTTAATGTAAATGAATAAAACATTTTCTAATACATTTCGCTTTTTAAACCGTTAAAAGTGTTGGAAAACTTATCCATTGATTTTTTCAAAATTTCAAGTGTTGTCCAAATCGTTCAGAATGGTTTATTTTAAATTTAAAAGCCAAACTTAAAATAATTTGGTACTACAGTTGCTGTTGGAAGTGCAATAGGTGGTGTTCTGCTCATCGGTCTCCTTATGGTGATAGGATGGAAGGTTCTGATCGACTTACATGACAAAAGAGAGTATGCCAAATTTGAGAAGGAATCAGCAGCTGCGGGATTCGACGTCTGCAATCCACTCTACCGAACGCCTGATGTTAGATTTACAAATCCAGCATATTCACAGGGGGAGATGCTGATGTAGTCTGGAGGAATATATGAGGTTGCTAGAGACAGAGTGGCCTAATAACAAAAGACTTGATTTTCAATGAGGAACAAAAAATTGCGCAATTAACTTAGGCGAAAATGAACGTGTACTATTATTTGTGTAGGAATTATGTTAGCAATTTTCGGTCACCGTGTAGATTTTTAGAACAGTAATTTTAGTCATAAAATTTCAGTTAGGCTACTCTGCTTCTAGCAGCCTCATTTTTTGCTCTTCATCAGCATCAACCAAATTGTAAGAGCAATTTCTGTAATGGAGAATTCATAAATAAAAAATTCTCACATTAATTCGCTTTTATTATGAACTTTGATAATTTACATGCAGTTAAATAAATACAAATACCGTATAAAAAATATATAGTAAAATAAATAAAAACCCGATTAAAATAAGTTAAAAACTCATATGCGATTTACATTATCTAATTTTTACTTAAGACGAATCCCGTTCTTGCAAAATATTGTATGGCCGTAGAATTGAATTTAGATAAGGGTTACTAAGAATTGTAATACATATCTTAGTCACTTTTATCTATCAAGTCTTCATATGGCTTTTGGAATGTCTACATTAGGGTAAAAATAGTTATTCAGTTGGATGAAGGCAGGTTGCTAACATTTTCCGCACATCCTTTTTTACTATGGGAGAAACGGTTTGAACGGCCTTTTAAAATATCTTTATATCCGGATACAAGATTATATAATGTATACATTGTTTTAATCAAAGAATTATTTAAGAAATCAGACATTATTTTGAGTAAACATTTCGCTAAGCTTTTTTCATTAGTATCTAATCGAGAATGAATTTTTATCTTTTTTTAAAGCCGTGTTTGTTGATAATAATAAGCTGTTTTTGTGAACACTTAACCACCTGCCATCATCCACTGAAATTTAATCCACAACGTCACTTCTTATGTTTGTTCGTTCGGTCGTGTGAACGCCGCAAACGGATAGGATGCTCGTGTTCGTGGTAATGTTTCTTTTCTTTGCGTTCTGTTAGATCCAGTTTAGCTGACACCGCCTGAAATAATGTAATAATAATATGCACTTAACTGTTTGTAAGTGTAGTACTATATATAAAAATAAAAATCTGAAGTCTCCAATTGAAAAAAGATGACACCGACAACGATTCGCGTTGTTAGTCTGTCAAAATACCTACATAATTATACAATTGAGTAGTTTGTTTGTCTACGTCGATTTCTCAGTTTCAATTCCTAGGATATATATTAAATAACACTTGGTTAAGTTTGGTCAAGAAATTAAAAGGTTCTGAAAAAATCTCACTGTCACTGATATGCGATTCGATTTAGCTCATTAATATACGGTCTATATGTGATCTTACCCTGTTGCTCTCTTGTTTCATACGCCTTGGTCGCAACGTTGAGGAAGCACGACTCGCTGCTAAGTCACCAGCAGACAGATGCTCTACCAACTCGAGGTTGCACGACGTCGAACAGCATTTACAGCTGGAAAATAATTTTGCTTATAATGTCATCTACTTAATTCTTATAATTTATAACAAATATTAATCTTAGCTTTAACTAAAAACAACTTAATATATAATTTGTGACAATTAATGTATTTAAATAAAGCTATCCACAACATTTCTATAACGAAAATAATAATATGATATAATTGTTTAAAATTATGAAGATAAAAAGGACACAATACTTATTAAAATTCTCCAATTTACCTATTAGACCTAGGGCAACAAGCTTTGTACACTATTGAAATAACACTTAACAGTTTGAAACGCGAAATATCGCTATACTCGTTCCTCAGGTCACGACTTCTGACGAAAAAAATACGTTAACTAATTGGTACATTTTGCGTTTAGTGTTTGTGTTTCATTCAAATGTGTAGAACTCCTCTATTCTTTATGAATAAAGTTCAACTTTAACATCACATACACGTCCTTTTCTGGCACTGCAGGGTGTGACTGCGGGCTGATGTCGCGAGAATCAGCTGGTGTATTCCTGCAAACTGCTTCTCGGACCTCTTCAAGTCTTCGCCTCTCTTCTGCCACTTTGCGATCCAAATCTGCTACTATATTTATAAAATGATTTGTTTTAATATCCGATATTAAGTTAACCTAGTAATACTTCTTAATTATTATTTTGTTGATTTACACCTACATACATGATAAAAGCAAATAACGCTGGCATGTTTACAGCAAAAAAATAAATACAAAATATACATTAGACCATTTCTATGCTTAAGCGGTTGATTACCGCCAGCTATACCCAATTTGACACTTACAATGTTTCTTGGTCAACCGTTGCTTATTCAGTACTTCGCTTTCCAAGCAGTCAATGCGCTTTTGAAGGACTTCTTCTTTACTTATCTTACACTTCCAAGTGCGACATACTTTAAGATGTAGGAAGGCCAACTCTTGCACATCCAGTGCCTGAGGAAAATATTATAGAGTTCTCTGAATCTCTCAATTCAGGACCACTAAATGCCCATTTTAGCATACACCTTAGCATTCGTTAACTTACGTCAACATTGCCATTAACAATTTTATCAGCAATGTATTTCGTATAGACTTGCTCTCCCATGCGTCTTTGATCGTCATCTACTTTCTCAAATATTGTCCGAATAGTATCAGAAAGGTTAGTGTCTAGTGTACAAGTACAGGGTCCGTGGGACCGAGGCTTGGGTCTGACATTAAAAGCCTCTATATTTGTAGTAGTTAACATTTTGGATTCGCTTCTCCTGTGCTTTCGTTTTCTGCTGTCCGCAGTAATTTTGACCGGCTCCTAAAATTAATAACTCATAGTCATTCTTACTAAAATATTATGACTATATAAACGCTATATTTACCTCTCGTGTTTCATTCTGGTATTCAATTTTCATTTTTAGTAAATTATTTTCCCTTTCTAGTAGTTCGACTTTACGCATCGCTTCTATGCTCATTGTCCTCAAATTCTCTATTTCATTTTCATGACTGCGTATCACATCTTGAAGTGTTTCTTCGTGTAAGTTTTGTATGCTTTCAACGCCTTGGTTATGTTCATTAATTATATTTTTAATATTATTGTCATACTGAGCTTTTACGGCTTCAATTTTCATTTTGTAATGTTTTTCAATGGTATCTAACGCTACAGTTAGCTCTTTAATTTTATTTTCGTATTCTTGGCTGCTATCGAGCTTAGCCATCACACTTTGCTCAGCTGAGAATGACGTGCGTTTAATTCTAAAACTTTTTTTTTACTGTTAATAGAAACGTCTTCATAATCGGTGAAAGGTTTTAATAAGGAGCTGCAGGATTTTGATCCATTTTTATTATATAAGAGCTCTTTTGAAAAAATATTTCCGCTTTCAATTTTTTGTTCTGTTTCACTTTTGAAATTATTGATATTTATTTCCGGTTGCATAGAGTCCAAAATGTACTTCAGCCCATATTTGGAATTACGAGGAGCTTGTTCTTTGTTAGTAACGTCGGTCCCTATAAATACGTCTTTTGGCAATTCATTTCCTTTTATGACTTCATAATTTTCTTTTATCATATTGATTTCGTCGTTAAGACTATTTAAAGTTTTTACATTTTTTTGCTTGTAATTCTTTTCTCTCTTCTTTTTATAAATGTTATTATTGTGTTCATTTGGTTCAAATTCTTTATTTACGAAATCATTTTCTGTAGGTAATCCGCTCTTTTGACGATGAATGTTGTGATTACCGCGTTTATTAAGAATTATATTATCTGGTAAATTGTAAGTAATTTCTTCAATGTTACTTTGAGAGTCGGTTAAGTTTATATCTGACTGCGTCTCTGGAGAAGCGTAAATAGCCACAGTGCAAGAGTCCACTGACTTATTATCACTTTCTAAATTAGTCCTTCCCGAAAAGCTTTCTGTACCTACTCTAGGTAAACTTAACGTTAGTTTTGGTTTAACACTATCATCTTCTTGATTACTAGCTGAATAATTTTGTTCTATATCACCACTAAATATTTTTATACTCGACTTATCTTTTTCTAACAGGAGGTTCTTAGATTCAACAATGAAATTCGAGTTATGCTGGTTAGGCCATGAATTTTTAGCATTAGATACAGAATTATCTAAGTCACTATCTTTGTATATAAGAAATAAATCATTATCAGTTGAGTGAACAGAGCATTCAATCGATTTAGATTTCTCCTGTTTTTTAACTTCAATTCTGTTTTCATTTACAAAGTGATCATTAGACAAGTCAACTATAGATTCTACACCTGGGCTCTTGCTGCTAAATCCAGTGTTATGTGTGAATATCGAATGTGTATTGTATATGTCAATGATTTTGTGATGATTGCCAATATCACTGATAACATTTGTTTTGGTTTCTGGCACCGGTTCTATTTCTTGAATTTTACCCGAACTTTCTTCGCTGTTGTTGCCCGATATAGTACATTGTTCTAATTTTGTTGGACTCAGACGCTTAATTTTATAATTTAGATATGTTCTTTTGATAAAATCTAAATTTGAATAAGTTAAGGGTAATTCAGCATTATTTTTAATATTTTCGTTGTGCTCTTTTATTTCTCGTAAAAATTGACGATCAGTATCAGGTAATTTGGATATATCACTTTTTATTAAAGCAACATTATGTATTTCTTGATCAACTTTTTTCAAGATATCAGTTTGACATGTCTGATCTCCTTTTTTAAATGTCATCGTTTGTGTTTCTGAACTTTGTTGGGGTTTATTTCTTAAATCATCAACACATTTACGAAGATAGGCGACTTCTTTTGTTTTTTTCTCTAAGTTCTTAGTCACGATTTCGACGTCTTCAACTTTTTTACTATTTTCTTCAGACAAATTAAAAGCCTTTTCTTGTAAATCTTTCATCTTTGAATGAGAATTTTCATATAACTCTTCAAGATTTTTAATTTCATCTTGCAATTTAGTTATAAAGTCTTGTCTAACTTCATCTATCTTTTCGAACATCAATTTTTGATTTAATATTTTTGCATCTAAATCCTTAATAATATCTTGATCCTTTGATATCTGATCTCGTAATCTCGTTTCCAAAACATTTAACTGTTTTTCCATAATTAAACGTTCCTTTACCGCTTCTTCTTTCTCAGCTATGATCTTTTGTTTTTCATTCTCTACGATCCGTTTTGCCTCATCAGCTTTACTTAAAAGTAATCTAGAAGAGTTTTGTACAGTAAGCAATTTTTGTTCAAGAGATGTACTTCTGGAATGTTTAAATTCGATACACTGTCGTATTCTGTTCAATGATGTAATAATATCATCCAATGTACAACTATCATCATTTAAACTACTATTCTCAAAACAAGTGACTTCCAAATCTTTAACATTATGTAAAATAATGCGTCTTTCGCTTTGCAGGTCATTTAACTGTTCTATAAACTTCTGTTTCTCCTGTGAATGTTCTTCTGATTTAATTTTTGTTGTTGATAGCTTATTTTCCAAATACAAATTATTATTTTTCAAATGTGTTAATTCCATTTTCATATTATGAGTTGCCTTAGAGTCTGCAAAAGTTGACGAAAACAATATATCAAATGAAATAAACTCAAAAAATTAAATTAGAATAATAAAAAAGGCTAAAATTACGATGGGCATCCAATATTTTTAATGATTCATCAATTCTTTGACGACTATTATTCAAAATTTGCTCGCTCGAGTCAACAGCTAGAGCCATATCTTCATTAAGACGAGCTACTTCTTCTTCTAATTTGTTAATATAGTTTTGCAAAGTAGCAATTTTGCTATCTCTGTTAATTATATCTTCTTGATAATTAGATATTAGTGCATCCTAAAAGCATAATCTATCTAAGCTACAACACAAGTAAATAATAATATATAGAATATGAGAAACAACAAAAGGGCACAAAATAAAATTGTTACCGATTCATCTAATTTGTCAAACAGTTCTCTGATTTTTTTATGATTTACAATTTTCTCTTTTTTCATGGTATCAATTTCTATTTTTAATTCTTCTAACATAACCTGGGGTGTTTTTGAGCTTTCCTTTAACTGCAAAATATATTAACTTGGTTTATACTTCTTTAACAGTGTTTTAACAATTTCAATAGATAATTACCGCATTTTGTGCATTTATGAGAGCTTTTTCCAAGTTTTCTAATTGACTTAACAAATCTAGCTTGTGTTGGGTCAGTTGTCGGTTGTCTTCTGAAATTTGTTGTAAATGTTTTTGTAAACCTTCAAATTCATATTCAATTTTTTCCTTCTCCAATAACATGTTTTGGTGCGTTAGTTTCAAATTATTAAATTCTGCTTGTATGTTTTCCAGGAACATTATTTTTTCTTTGAATTCCTCACTTTCTTTCCTAACTAGCGTGATGTCATCCTTGAGAATCGAAATACTATTTTCCGCATTAATATCTTTTTGTTGTAAGGCCTCTATTTTGTTCGATAAATTCTTATTCTCTAACGTTTTATTCTCTAATTCACAATACGCATGATTAACTTCCTGATTCTTATTGGCAATATTATTCATCAGTTCTTGTTTTTCAACAGTTACGTTTTCATAATCTTCTTTTAAACTATTTAATTTTCTTTCTAAATCTACTAAACGACGATTTTCTAATATTAATTGTTCATTATTTTGTTTACAATCATCTAAGTATTGTTTTGTGTTTTCCAGTGCCACTGTAGTGTGTTTTAGGTCATTTTGTAACACGCTTCGCTCATTAACAAGTTTTTGGTACAAAACATTAATTTTTACAAAATTTTCTTTGAGATCTTCGGTTTCATTGAGGCGTTGATTAAGTTCTTCGCTTTCCTTTTTTGTCAATTGAAATGAATTGATTAAATCATCCAATTCATAGTTTTTCAATTTTAATTCTTCCTCGAGTGTATGTTTTTCAGAGCGAAGGAGTTCATAGGAATTCTTGAGTTCATTGAAAGCCTGATTCAGATTTTGGAAGTCACTTAGTTTTCTCTCTAGATTTTCACTTTTCTGTCGAGATATATCGAGAGTTTCTTTATAATGTACATTTTCATCCAACAAAGTATGAAGGCTATGAATACTTATATTATGTAAATTATTTATTTCGTTTACGAGTCCAGAGTTTTCGATTTCCTTTTCTTCTTCATGTTCTGAATAGTCAGTTCTTTCAACAAAACTATTCAGGTTTGGTTCCGATTCATTTTGTAAATGCTGTCGGATTATGTCTAGTATTTCGCGGCTTTCTCGTTGTTTTGCTTTAAGTGTGTTTATTGCAATCTCATTTTCATTTTTAAATGATTCTATGCTTTTTGTATACATATTCCGATTTATTTTTATATCTTCTGAAAGTTGTATGTTTTTCCTTTCCTTAGCCTCTAGTTCATTATTTAAACAGTGTATTTCTTTTGATTTTGAATTCATAGCTTCTTTTAAGCTTTCAAATGCTTCGGTTTTATTTTCTAACTCTTTTGATAATAATTGATTCCGATCTTGCAGATATTCAATTTGATTTTGATAATCTCTTGCATATTCTTCTAGACAAATATTAGAATGAAGGAGTTTGTCACACTTTTCTAAAAAAAATACATAAATAATTTAAAACTGATACGGTATAATGATATTATTTAATTTATTTTAGCTGCACACCCTTCCAATGTTCAATTGCAGCTTTCAAGTCATTGATAATTTGAAGCTTTTCCTCGAAATTATCTTGAAGAACTTGTTTCTCTTCTTCGTTACACATTAAAGCTTGTCTTAGATTCCTTATTTGCTCCTTTTGAGTTTCAATTTCATCTAACAATTCTACCGACTTAGATGTTCCTTCATGTTCAATCTGAAATAGGAGACAAAAGTATTTCACCTATTGAATGATAATGTATGAAATATGGATTTATTGAATTTCATTTTACAGTAAAGGTAAATGCTACAAATTTACAACTAAGCAGTTAGCAACATCATACCTCTTCATGCCCTTGTTCAATAAATTTATCAATTTGAAGTGATAAACTTTTTATTTGCTGATCTTGACACATAATCTTACATTCATATTCCTTTAATTTACAATTCAGTGAATTTTTCTCTTTTTCAGATAGTAAAGTCACGTCTTGCAATTTCCTTTCTAATGCGACATTTTCATTTTGTAAATAGCTTATATTTTGACATTTTATTTTATTAATTTCACACTCCGCTTTAAGTTTAGCCTCAACGTTAGTCGCTTCATCAGTTAATATATAATAACGCTCTTTCAATATATCTAAATCTTCTGAACGCTTTCGGTAATATTCCTTTTCACTCCAAAGCTGATTATATTCTCTTAGTCGATCCTGCATACACTCACACTCTTTCTCTAGTTCAACATACTTTTGACATCGAATGAATAGACAATCCTTTTCGTATTTTAAATTCTCATAACAGTTTACCAGTTCATCAAAATTTGCCTGTAAACTTTTCAATCTATTGAGATTTTCAGGTCCTGAACCATCTAAAAGTGTAATAACAAACAAATTAAAAAATCTAAAAATAATCTTTCAATTCATCATCATACAACAATAATGTAATCAAAAACTCTTCAAAATACCTGTGTCAAGTAAATTCTCGCCAACTTGTTCAGGATTACTTTTCTCAATAATTATGTTATCTTTGCTTAAAATCTCTTTCATCTCGTCATTGTCAATGATGTCCGCAACAAGTTGTGCCCTTCTATCATCAATATTAATTTTAGTTTCAGTTTCAGCCGACGTAAGGGCATACGTTGTAATGACTTCAGCACGATAACAGGAGCATTCTTGTACTGAAGGTGCTTTCTCATATTCTTGGGAGCATGGTGCAATAAGAGCTAGGCAAAACTTTTCCAACACTTTCATTTTGAAAATAATTTTTCCTTTCACGCCTAACCCACGGATATCTTTACCGGCTATCTGTGAAACAGAATTTCAAACATGAAAACACTTAAATACTGTCTATAGTTTACGCAAGTATTAGTTAAACTTATCTCCCCGTGACCACGGCTGCTGCAAAGCATCCGAAACGTCGGGCCGAAGTTATAAATCATTTTCAAATAAATTTAACTAATATATTGCGTTTTAAAGTGTTTTATTTAAATGAAAATACTTCTCAAAACGTACAGCACATATCTTATAAAATTTACTTACCAACAAGTTTAAATACTGTTTATACTTTCCATTTTGACATAACGTAGCAAATATTACCTCTAGTGCGGTATATATGTGAGCATATATAGAATACGGTTCGCACAAATCAATTTCCATAACCTAAAAAACCACGATTATTAAATTCTCCTCTTTTAATAACCGTAATACAATGAATTAATTACATACGGCTATTTTATTTTGCATCGCATTGAGCTTGGCGTCTTTTCTTATAATCGTTTCTTGTAAGTCATCTAATCGAGTATCTGACGCCGCTGTAAGAGGTATAATATATTTAAATCTTTAATCTCTACTAATTACTAATATATAAAACTGAAAAGTTTGTTAGTTTGTTTGAACGCGCTTAGCAATTAGTGAATTGGATAAATATTTCTGTGTTGGTTAGAACACTTGTCGAGGAAGGCTATAGGCTATAAAATATTGTTCTGCGACTAATAGGAGCAAAAAAACAGAAAACGGGGAAAATTTATTCATCGTTTTGCGTGTCCATTGCTTACGCTGTGATACCAATAATAATAATTCCTCTTTGAATTATCTAAAAAAATGTCCGCGTTACTTTACGTGTATTTTTTTTTTAATTTACCCGCAAGAACGACGGAACAACGCGGACGACGTCGTTGGCAACAGCCATAATTTTTAAATATGACGACGAGGTTTGCAAAAATAAATTTCGACGCTCAAAATAACTATTCAACGCGGACAAAGTCGACCAAAAACCTCTTACGCCTAATGAAATAATAATAAAATTTCACAATAGGCTTACAAGTGGACGCATCACGGGTATGCGAGATTTCTCCTTGTCCAATTTGATTGCTTTTTGTTTCCTGTTTCGCTTTTGTAGATTCCCACTGTTAGCAAAAAAAAGTATTACTATAATATATAACTAAACTCTAAAAAATAACTTTTACTTACGTCGTCGCGCGATTTCCCACTCTAGAAAGAAAAAAAGGCGAGCAATTTAATTATTACACACTTTGTAATAAATTATAATGGTAACTGATAGGTTTGAGAATTAAAAGGACGTCATTAAAATATTACTTTTAAATTCCTTTCTCATTTGATGCAAAAAATCGATAAAGTCAAAATATACATTAAAAAAAACTTTAATTTTATTTAAGATGGGGTTTGCTTAATATAAGAAGAAATTTCCTAGAAACATAACGATCTCAACAAGATACTCTATCGATCTAGTTTATTTGGATTTTCGGTAATTCGCAGACTGATCGGTGTCACCCAGTTTTGGGTCACGCGATTAAACTTCACGGGTAAATCTGTGGGTAGTTGCGGAATGCGCAATTTCGATTTCCAGTCGATGTCCAAATATATTCCAGAAAAATTATAAATTGATCAGAAATATGTTGGATCCGATGGGAATTAAAGCCACGACCCGTTAATTATTAGCCTTAATGTTTCTGTGACCTCATGTTCTTTCAAATGTAGGAAATATTTTTTGTTAGCTTTTTAGTCCAAGCCACTTGATAAATAAAATCTTACCTCATCTGCTATAGATCTGATTGTCTGAAACATAAATAAACATTTTGTTCACCATTTTAAAAGTTGATAAATTATTAAGCTTTGAATCAAAAATACCTCATGTCCTCTAGATTTTCCAGTCTGTAAATAAAACAGGCATTGTTAAGAAACACACCCGTAAAATACATAGTAACATCGTTAAACACTCACCACAAATCTTTCCGAGTCAATACCCTGAAATCAAAGAAAATATACTTATGGCCACTTAAAATATACTTATAACATAAATAGTAATCTTCCTTACCTCGGTGAATCCAGATAAATCCAAATCCAAGCACTGTAACAATTAAAAACAATTAATTATATTTTTAATCAAGAAGAAAATAACCAAGAGATGCTAATTCTGCTCACCATCTCATCCAGTTCTTTACTTGCAGCTCTTATTGCAGCATGCTGTAAAAGTATTTTAGCATTAAAAATAAAGAAGACAGAACATTTCATTAAAATTCATATCTCTTAAGAGACGTAACAGTTTTCTTTTATGTACCTATATTCTTACACCTTATTTTTTATAAAACCTATTTAAATTAGTTGAAACGAAAACGATATGAAACTAAACTGTCGTTTCAGGTGCTTAGCGACAATAGTTGTTCGGTATATATATATATACTATTAACACATATGTAAAATATATGCTTACAGCATTAGCGATATCACATTTCTGGTCGTATGTTAGCTCAAGGTGATCATAAGCAGCTAACATTTGTTCAAATTCTTCAATCTTACGTTTCAGTCGACTTATTTCAACATTCTTTGTGACCATCAAGGTGTTGACTATGACATCTGTGGGTATGTACTTCGGTCTACAGGTTTCATTGTTCCTCTTAATGATGTCCACAAGGTGTTCAGTTTTGTCGGTACAAAAATGGGACCATGCTCTTGCGTCTGTGCACGATGCGTAAGCCTTAAGCTTCCCTTCGTTTCTCGACGGCAGATCGTAAAGATCGCACTCATTAAAAACTCTCTCTCGTTTCGTTATAAAAGACATTGCCGATATTTAGTCGATACAAAATTTACCAAACAATAACAGTGCCCTATTTGCTTTCGTCACCATCCATTTTATACAAACCACGAGGACTGGGTATATTCCTATGTTTAAATGTAAATAAATGTCGAAAAGTAGCAAATATTTTGAAGTGTCATTACAAATCCATGGGGATCGTATTAGAATGTCACATTTAAATTATTATTTTTATTTAATATAATTTCATCAAGGAGGTTTTATTTTTAAATCACGCTTGATATTGATAGATAACTTTGATTTGACAGTATCCTGGTCAAAATTAAGTGTAAAGGTTGAATTTAAATATGTAGGCTAGTATAACTTTTAGCAGTCAATCAATGAACTACGCCAACAAAAGGCTTCAGCTAGCAACGCGTAACGAGGGAAAGATAAAATCGTACGGTTCCTGCATCGACGTCAGAGCATGGAGTCATGATCTGCAAACTCGGGACCATTACCTCAGGGATTGGATGAAGAGTGATATGCCAATTTGTGTTATTCCCGTTAAAACGATTATTGGATTTTTAGACAATATGACTCGTAGGAATCACGCTAAGGTATAAAAGATTTTAATGTTAAAGAAGTCGGTTTTATTATTAACTTATTGTACACTGGTTAACAGATAAGCCCACGCTGCCATCCTGATTGCAAATCGAAGTTAATTCTTGAGAGTATTTGCGCTTCATGTCATGCTATTAGGGAATGCCTGAGAAATGACCAAACGTTTGAAAAATACTTTCAAGATGTAAGTAAAAATAATATACTTTACATATTTCTTATTTGAGATTATCGTACTCAAACAAACAAACTCTTTATCTTTATATATTAGTATAGATAAAAATAATAATTAAATTTCAGGAAGAACTCGAAACAAGCCACTGGCCATGCGATAGGTGCCTGGACGCGTTAAAGAGTATTAAAATGTTCTGGCGCATCATTCTAAATAAAATTTTCAGAGTTAACATCGAAACGAATGATAGTTTTACAAATAGTAATATGTGCAGTAGCGTTCGAAGTGTAGCTAAACACTATCTGGATGAAATTAGTGAGCAGACTATTTTTCTAAGAAAGATAATAGAAGAAAAGGCATACGATAGGGACAATCATAAGGCAGACACGATACGGTTTAAGATATACAGCAACGATTTTGTTATACTTACACCGAAGGAGAGTAAACATAAAATCATATTCGAAGACAAAGCCATGGAAACTGAAAAAAGTTTGCCAAAAGAACACCCTTGCCGCAAAACAATCAGTCAAGGTGTCTCAGTGACTTATAAAACTGTGGATTTTGGTTGTGAAACGTGTAATCTAGAACATGAAGGCATTAGTGAATACAAACAGAAAGTAGATCATCTTCAAAGGCGTTTAGATTTGCAAAACATTGAACTCGGTAAGTTAACTAAGGAAAATGTATCAATGAAATTGGACTTGCAACAAATTTATCGATCCAACCATTGGAGTACGTCTTATCGTCATCGACCCAATTGTGCGCCATTTGATGAAGCACTCGAGAGAGTACCAGCGCCTTTCGAGAGTTGTGAAGAGGAAGATAACTTACTGCCCAAAACAATAGACTCAGAAATGATTATTACCTTGAAGAATTGTAAAAATGAGGTAGGAAGGAAAACAATTATTTTAACTAAGTATTGTCTGTAGTTTTCGCGAGTACACATTTAAACAAAACACTTCTAAAGGCTTAATAGGTGAAATGTATGGCTAGCTGTCCCCCGTGACCACGGCTGCTGCGAAGCATAAAAATAAAGTCAAAAATCTTGTCAAAAGTCAAAATTCTTGTGTGTGTACAACGTCAAATTAAAGAATCTAACTTCACATTTACTACCAGAACATCCGAAACTTAAAAAAAAGTAGTTGACTTGTATACCTTTCATTTTAAACGTTTAATGTAAATCATATTTCATAAAACATTGCAAAATAATTATAATCTAATTTTCAGACGTACACAAATATTTCTCTTTTACAAGTAATACATAAATCAAATGCAAGTGAGCTACAAGAAATGAAAGGACCCGGTTGCAAGCAAGATGATCCTATTAGACTCTTGACGAAAGGTAAAATGTAAATTAGAATTGTTTTCACTTATAGTCCATATTTGTCACAGTACTGGGAGGGTTGTAGAGCGGTACTCAGACGAGTATCATCACTGAAAAAGCCAAATAGCGGACTAACACCTTACCTAACCCGGGATTCGAATCTTGGACTTCTTGATATGTAATCGAGTAACCATTAATCCAACGAGACATTTTCTAGTGTTTAAACTTGCACATTTCAGTTCAAGACACCTTTGGTTCGATAGTGCAGCGGGAAATTGGAAAAGTGAACGAAAATCAACGAGCGAACAAGAATATCACTATAATAAATTCGTCATATGTCAATGGAAAAACTGCTCGGTCTGGTTCAACGATGTCCTTACATTCGATATCTTCAGAAACTGTTTTTGTAAGTTACTAGTTCTCATAGAGGGATTTTAGACAGACTGTGACATCGCTGTGGCAACATTTTGCCTTTGGACATATTGAAAATTGAATTATTAAAACTATAACGTATATACGGTTCCATCTATGAGGGTAGTTTGATATTCCTGACGTCCATTTAAAAATGTTTACATATCAGCTTATTTATTTTAAATTTCTTCCAGGTGTCGACGTCAGATTAAATAAAAAGTGGGTGCTGTTTGTTTGTTTATTAATTCTGTTGATGGAATATATTATAAAAATTGTGACATGATCCTTATTATTCGATCGTAGATTAACGTCTTTGCGTCATTCGCGAATACAAAATCCAGATGATTAAACTTGTCTAATGGGACTCGGTACTTTCCGACAACACTTTTGACTTCTTTGAAGAGTTTGTCCACGTCTTTTGGGGATGATAGCCAGTCGTTATCTGCATAGTGCAGAAATATAGGTACGCGTATAGCGCTTAGGTTGTATGAGGGTGGCCTGAATGATCCGTAGTTGCGTCTATTGGACCACCAGCCGTGGTCAAAGCGTGCAAATCTATTTGATTTGTAGAGCTGGCCGAAGTGGACGAATTGTCTCGCTGAAGCTCCGGCTGGAGTATGACCCATCACAACTGGCAGCATGGTCTAAAAAGTTAGCTTAATAAATCTATCTTTTCATTAGGAATAATAGTATAAGGAAAATTGTGGGTTAAAGCCTGTTTTCCCCCGTGGGCCATGGGGTAAAGATATTTCTGTGTCCGTTTCACTGATCGAATCTATTTACTGTAGTTATTCAGTCTTTTGTACCCTGCCCCAGTGAAACAATCTATTGTTGTCCCGGGATTCGAACCGAAGACCTCTCTCGCTTAACGCAATGCTTGGATCGTTTAATAATCAAGCTACAGATGTAAATAGTAAGGCAATATTCAATTAGAACAAACAATGAATTTATGAATTAGAATATAACCTTATCTATCTTTATGTACTTATTCGAAAAAAAAAAAAACTTTTTTTCCACGAGTATCAATACAGCTATTGGTTGGAGGTATAAACAATTCGATTATTTTTAATTTGAAAATATTCATCCTAAAAATATCTTTATAAAGTTATTATTGTGTTCGCATATTTATTGCACATGAGACCTTGTTTAAAAAAAATAATATTTTTAAGACGAATGTCATTCTTCTACTTACTTTATTCAGTTGTTCTGCATCAAAACCGCAGAACAGAAACAGAAGATTGGTGCACAGAGATTGAGTTATAGCTTCCTCCACGCACAACTTTTCCCCGGCGAGTTTATTTAAGTTTCCGTTGGGTAGGATTTCATTAGCGCCTATCAGTTTCAAAATTCTCTGAAAAATACACGAAATATAACTGTTGAAATAAGGAATGATACTAAAGCAAAGCACCACGATTTAGTACTACATAATATTATGAATTACTAGCTGTTCCCAGGACTTAGTCCGCGTGGAATTTAAGGCGTCAAAATTTGGTCTTGGTTAACTTTCTCATCTTTATAATTTATAGCTAGTGTCCACGTGTCGCGGACATTTTTAAGGGGAATCTTTGTACATGTTTTTTGGGTATCTTGAACCGTTTGGCAGCGCACGCAGCCCGAAGCCCTCGAAGAAGAACAGTTTTCCACATTTCCCTCTGTTCCCTCGCTTCTTTTGATTTTAAGTAATGTTATGAGTATATAGCCTAAAGCCTTGCTAGATAAATTCCTGAGTTTACAATGTTAGTAGAGATCATATTTAAAGATATGAAAAACGCTAAAGTTTTGAGAGAGCAGTGATCCAAAAAAGGTACCTCCAAGGAATTGGTAAAAGGCGCCAAAGCTCGTATGACTGGACTACGTATATTCCCGACATAAGCAATTGGAGCCATCGCGTGCATAGCCGTGAACTTGTCATTATACTCAGGCCTGGTAGATGTCATCACCCAAAAGGCGGTGGTCCCTTGCGAAAATGCCACATACTGCATCTTTTGGACACCTGTCTCCTTAATGACGTAGTCGATCATGGCAGGGAGGTCGTAGTAACCGATCTCGTGCCAGCTGAACTTCCAGAAGGCTGAGGAGGTGGTCTGAAGTGACGCATGCTTACGCGAATACGTGTTTCCACGGGCGTTGCCCATCCAGACATCGTAGCCTGCTTCGGCTAGAAGGTACGCTGTAAAAGACGGGCTTGTTGGTCTAAAGGTAGCTATGTGTGGCTAATAATCAACGGGTGATGGATTCGATCCATCGGATCCATGTTTATAATTTATCAATTTGAAATTTTTCTGAAACATGTTCGACTTCCTTATCTTTATACATTATTTTTTCAGACAATAGTTTGCGTACCAAACATAAATACCGATATAACGTACTAGCAGCTGTCCCGGCTTCGCACGGGTAGACATAAATAAGTACAGATATTAAAAATATAAGAATGGTAATTAAAACGACCATGAATCACTAAATTAGAAAAAAAATGTATTTCGCGTCCTAGCTGTTAACGACCTTTGTCTATCACGCTGTCAGGAGCCGATGCGAGCGTTTAGTGTTAGTTGTAGTAACTTGCATTTTGTTCTGCAAAACAAACCTGAACATTCGACGACAGATTCTCTGGCTTGCGATTGGGACGCGTACACTATAATACTTTCCAGACAATTATTTCAGGAAGAGGACTCTCCAATACGACAAACTTTGCCAATCTCGCTTGGGAACTATTCTTAGATAGGTGCGACCTTCTTCTTCTAGGCGTATTGTTATGAAGGATATTTATTTTAAATCAGAGAAATTAAGAATAAACTCATAATAATACAAAAGAAAATATTCAAGTTCAAAGCGATAGTTCTGAAAAGAACTTTGACAAATATTATGCAAAGTGTGATTCCTAATTCTAAACTAAGTAGCTTTTTAAGTGAAGCATAAAAATGTTAAAAAAATCGAAATATTCAATGTCGTTCGCGCCCACTGCGTAAGGAGCCCACTGCCCCTCTATCGTCGAATAAGATACTCGATGCGCGGCGTAGCGGCCGCCGCCGGCATGCATTTTCATTTTAACTTCGTGATATCTTTTGAATGGAATGTCCGATTTTAATAATTAAAAAAGTAATCATCAGGTATTGAGATAGTCTTGAATATTAAATTATTTATTCGGATAAACATTTATAAATGGTACGGATAACACGGTCTGATTTTGATCGGCATTTCTATCAATTTGTTAAATGTAAAAAAGTAGTTATGGCGACGTAAATACAATAGTTAGACATTTGCTCTCGCGATGTTTTTTGTAGATGTTAATATATTCTATAATATTGTAAAACATTTTTTTGTCCTATCATTAATACTTTTCGCAGCGTATGCGAAGAAAGACATTTTACGACTCATTTTTTTACGCTTTCCGTTGGTTTTAGTAAGAATTTCTATAGATATCTATAGTAATCGAGTACTGAATATAGCCTATGTTACTCGTAATGAAGTAGCTTTCTAATGAAAAAAGAATTATTAAAATCGATCGAGTACTTTTTGAGTTTATCCGTTACATACAAAAATACAAATCTTTCCTCTTTATAATATTAGTATAGATTGCTCAACGTCATTTTAGCAGTAAGTTTCACGTAAGAGATTTAAAAGGTCCAGTTCAAATTTCAATAGAGACAAAACCAGCATACCAAGTCCTTTATCTGGTCTCATGAGAACAAACTCGGCTGATGAAGAAAGGAGGCCATGTTGCAGAAAGACGACGGGACGATTTTCTCTTACTGAATTCTCTTTGCCATATGGAACTCTATGCATTTCCAACACATACTTGTCCTCGGTGTAGACCCGGTGTATTTCGCAGGGATAGCCATATTTCCTTATGAGGGTAAACTAAAACAAACGAACCAAGATGCAACTATTTTTCTTCGCGTAGGGACGACAGGAAAATACTTCTTCGCGTGGGTTTGTAAGTTATGGTTAGAGGTATCCTCCCTACCACCTTGCCAACTTGTTCTTAACTTTTCAAATGACCATAAGAGCGGTTGGCAGAAAAACTATTTTTAACCAGTCTTGGGTTACACATTTTTTACGAATAAAAGTCGTAGAGTTATACAACAATCTGTTGAAATAACTGTTTTCATATTTAAATACATTTAACGGTTTAAAACGCGAAATATATTAGTAGCTGTTTTAATTAGATATGGAAGTAAAAATAAATTTAAATAATATACTTCGTGTTTTAAAGCGTTTGACTTAAAAAGGGTGGCGTAGTTCTACGAGGAGTCTTACGACCATAGATTTGGCACTAAATTATTAATATTAAATAACTTTCACATCATGCAGCTGATTACTTATCACACTTAACAAATAGATACTGTATGGATTGCACTCGAAAATTAATTTTAAATACTTTACGCGAGTAGTACACACAAAAAAAAACACTTTAACGGTTAAAACACGATATATATGTATTAGTTAAACTGCAGCCGAAACGTCAGGCCGTAGTTAAAATAATTTTCAAACATTTTAACTAGTATATATCACGTTTTAAACTGTTAAAGTGTTTTATTTAAAAATACATACCGTGTCCAAAGTAGCATCTTCAATGATCTCAGGATCTGTGTTTCTGAATTCTGAAAAGTCTATATTACTTGTAGCTATTCTAGCAAAAAACAGACATAACACAACGAATAGTTTTATCAAATTAAGCGTCATTCCTGGGTGTAAACAGAACCACTCTGTGAGGAATTGAACAGATTTTAAGGGCTACTAGTGTTTAGAGGATTACTTTGATAAGATCTAATGGATAAGTGGCTTTAGAGATTAGTTTAACTGTAAGGTTATCAAAACAAGTATTAGGTACTGGTTTGTTTACATTAAAATTCACAGGGAAAAAAATTGATGCATAGCTAAAGTGACCGCCTCTATAGCTAAATGGTTAAACGTGTGGCCTTGCATTGCGTTAAGCGCGACAGGTCCTGGGGAAACAATAATTGTTTCGGTCGGGCAGGGCACAGAAGTCTGACCAACTACTTGCCTCTAAATAAAAGATTACTGAAACGGACACAGAAATGTGTTCGCCCTATGCCCCACGAGGGGAAACGGGATTTCATACACAGCCAAAGTAAGAAAATTTTATAATGGCCCGAACTGACTACGTATTCACACATTTTTTTTGATTGCGTAATTTCCCCTATGCAGAAGAGGGTAGGTTAATTTTAAATATTTTTTATTTCAAAGTAGGTACTTCATTTTAAAGCTTTTCCATTTAAAAAATAACTAAACAGTAAATGTAGATATTGTGCATTTGTATATCCAAAAGTTTCCATCAGAAACCGATAGATGACACAATTACATCAATATTTTAAATTATCTATTTAATTACTTATCTTTAGATCTATATTCTATTTCAGTAAATTAAATTATTAATTAAGAGAGATTATTATTATTTTTATCTATTTCGAAACTGATGATTACTTATTATTTATTTATCAAAATAATATCGACCTTGTAATATTATCAGCAGAAGAGGGTCATGGTTTAATTTTTAATTATATAAATAGTCTGACATAGCTAATATGTCTACCTATGCCCTGATGTTTACAGCATTAAGATAAGCACATCACTGGTTGGAGTCCTAGCCAGATAGGATTTGATTTAATAATATAGAACGTTATTCCAAGCTACATTTTATGTCGATGGTAAATACTGTTAAGAACTCACTTAAATCACTTTTATATACTTTACAATTCTTATTTCAATAGTAGCTGTAATAAGTTTCTGCTGGACTATCCCGTATATCGACCCACGGCCCTCAATACTAACTAGACGTTTTGATTACGACTAGACCAAGGAACGGCCCGAACAGCCTTGGTTAAAAAAACTGTACGGTTATGGCTACGCTTTATTTTATATCGTTAATTTGAGCATCGCAACAGAAGCTGTAGTCAATACAGCTACTTTTAACGCTGATAAAAGAATGTCGGTCGTACGGATATCCGACCTTTTACGTCTATTTCCGCCAAGCAGTTAGACATATTTTGATACATTTATTTCATTGTTTTACATCATAAATTTATCACACATACAACCCAATGTTTAATCTTTAAAATGAAGGTAATATACATCAATCATCTATTATTAACATATAGTATTTTTTATTCTATGTGGGTAAAACAAAATAATAGACAATGATATTTAAATTCTTGCGTATTTATTCGAGAAAACATTTAATGAAATGGATTGAATTTTTACATAATTAACGCTAAAAACGTGAAACGTTTGAACCACTCGTTTACTTAATGGTGACATTATTCTCTTTTATTTTGTTGCAATGGACCCTCTGTTTTATTCTGCAACGAACTTACTACACAAGACATAGTCATTGTTTTTTGTGAATTCGTTTAAATAAATTGGTTGAAACAAAAAAATGCATTTTTTTTAATTCTAGCCACTCAAATTTAGCCTAGCAATAGTCAATTGTCATAAACTGTCAAATATCAATTGTCAATGCCATTCTTTCCTTCAAGTGTGCATTGATGCTGGGAATTGAACGCATTTTGTTGTTTACTTTCGTCTGAATTATTTAATTCTAAATTATTTCTGAATGACGAAAAAACATGTCGAACCAGGAAATTAGTCTAAAATGGAACGGGTATCAAAATAATATATTATGTAACGTGAAAGAACTGTTTAAAGACGAAGGATTGTCCGATGTTACGCTTGTTTCCGAGGGCCAGAGCTTTAAAGCCCATAAAGTAATTCTTTCCGCTAATAGTTCGGTTTTTAGAACTATTTTCCAAGTGAGTATTCTTGTCTTGTTGGCATAAAATTGCTGTAACGGTTTGTTCAAGTGTATATTTCTAGTGACGCCCACATATTTTTTACAGCAAAACCCCCACAGAGATCCAATTATAGTGCTTCATGACATCAACACGAACTCTTTACGGACTCTGCTGACGTTTATGTACAACGGAGAAGTCAATGTTACCGAGGAATTCTTACCAGTTCTTTTGAAAACAGCAGAAACTTTGAGGATATGTGGTTTGTCCAGTGACTCTAGTCGTGAAGATGAGGTGATTAATAAAGTTATTAAATAATCTTACACTAAACATCAGTATGTCTTTTGCTGTATAAGCTGCAATAATTCTTATAATCAATAATTGGAAATTTCTTTTTCATAGAAAAAGCTTTATAAGATAGGTGTAGCTGTATATAATGTATCTTTTTAATGATAAACTACAGAAAGCAGCCACCAGCACACAGCCAAGTACAAAGAAGCGTAAAAAGAGTGAACAACAAGAAGATAATAACAATAAAATTAAGAAACAGAACAATTCTAAGTCTGAAACTTCAAGCAATGTATCTGAAATTAAGAGCCATGTAAGTAGTTAGACTCCTGCAAAAGTCTCAACTCTTTTCTAAGTTTTATTCTAACATTTCTAAGCATAAGTAATATAACGCTTTGTTACTGTAAATTGACAATTGGATCTTAATCCCACATATCTACAGACACTATGAAAACAGAGCTGATATATGCCTTAGAACAACAGACTTTTCAAATTCCACCGAGGCCAATATGTTTCTAATCAATTTATATTTTTATGAAACATGTAGTACTCTATATAGAAGTGAGGATATTAAATGCACTGTAGGAATATAATTAGGGAAAAAAGGGCATAAGCACATCTTGTGTTAGGTTATATGCTGCTGGGGCATCATACATTCTACGAAGTGAGCACTATGCTTGTCTATCCTCTTATTATGAAATAGGAATAATAAAGTCTGCATTTTACTAACTTAAGATTCAAATTACAGTCATAACTAAAATACATTTTAAGAATTAAGAAAAATTAAAAAAAAACCCTTTTCCAGAACATAATGCTAAAAGAAGAACCAGTTGATTCACCATTGACCGATTACTCCGGTGAAAATACAAATGACACAGATATAGCCATATTGGAGGATAATTTAGAAAAGAAATACTCAATTACAACAGATTCATTGAAATCTGGCTTGTCAAATGATGGTAAAAAGTGGAATAATGAAGTTAGCAGCACACAACCTTCATTAAATACAAATGATGTTATTGATGCTGATAAGGAAATCGAAATAGATAAGGAGGTTGAAACTGTGCTACAGAGTGGGACTATTGTTGAGTCACTGAATATAGCAACGGAAAACTTGAATTTGCTGTCAAATGAAGCGTTAAAGGGAAGTTTAGGTATGTAACATTGATTATGAAAACAATAAAATTTGGTTACCTCCCTGTAGCTTACGCGAGTGGTATAAATTTCTATGAAACACTAACGGCTTAAAACGCTATACTATATATTTTAGTTAAACTTATTCGAAAGATATTTTAAATACAGCCCGACGTTTCTGATGCTTTGCGGTAGACGTGGTCTCCCCATGACTGTAAATTTGGTTACCCCTGTCAAACTGAAATCACATAAAAAACTTAAGATGTAACAAGCAATAAAATATTGTATATTAAACATATGATAGTACACAAAGAAGGTAGGATAATCTTAGTAGTTTATAACACCATTCTAACTTTCAATCGGTATATATAGTGAAATCCCCCAATGAGGGGCGTTGGGGCATGGGGCGAACAAAAAATGTGTGCCCGGGCGAACACATTTTTTTTATCCGTTTCACTGATCTGTTCTTTAACAGGCAAGTAGTGTATCAGACGTCTGTGCCCTGCCCGACCGAAACATTTTTTTTTGTTTTCCTGGGGATCGATTTCGAACCCAGGACCTCTTGCGCATAACGCAACGCAATGCTAGGCAATACGTTTAACCGTTTGGCTATAATTACAACTTTTAATCGGTGCTGATCATGAAAACATTTTAAATTAAATAAGTATAGTTTACGAATTAAATAAAATGGTTGCAAACAGGAGTAATATTTTTTAACCTCATATAAGTATTATAAACAGCTACAAAGCCTCTGAAGCGTCGGGTCATAATTAAAATAAACCAAATTATGCTTAATTATTATCTTACAATGTTAAAAGTCATATATAAATTTAATTTAGATACTGTCCTAAAATAAAGGTTTTGTACTTTTAATATTTGAAATATTAATTGATTGATGATCTTTATACGATTAAACTTTTTAACTTTTAGAAAAAAATACTTATGTATCTATGTTTATTTTTAAAAGCTATTCTTAATCCGAAAAATGTCTGCAGATAAGTCTGGTGGGTGTTATGCGAATCCTTCATTCCCGTGTCCATTTTGTCCACGAGTGTATAATAGCTGGGGATATCGTCGGAGGCACGTCAAGTCAAGGCATATGACTAACAGGTAAGACGCAAAAGTAATTGTCAAAAAGTAATCTCAATTGTCAAATGTTAAGCTAAATAAAGGAGGTAAACAGTTTTATAGACTATTTATGTCGATCTAATATTACTTTATTTTCTTTTGGGGACAGGTGATCAGTCCACGTCATTTGCTAACCACTTCACCTCTCATTCTCATTCCCCCTGTGCATAGGTTATTGGGTTATCCGACTCTCACTGTGTTCCTTTAAATCTTCTGGTTTCTTTGTATCTTAACAATTGCTTTAATGTTGATTATTTGATTTTGTCACAATATGATTTCCCCTGTGTTTTTTGCCTTAATTATGAATACATGGAGCATTCAGTGAGGAGAGGGTCGACCTAGGTATGGAAGTCCTATACTTGGCTGTACAAAAAATCATTAAATGGATACATGTAATGCAAAAACTAAAATTCACATTTTTTTTATTATATCCAATTGAAATCTAGCAAAAATGGTTCTCTTAATATATCCGTTTCTAAAACTTGAATTACTTAATTTTTTTGATAAAATTTTGCAGACTGTCATGCAAGTGGTGTGTCTCGGTGCTGCCATCTACGGGCGCATGGTACTCCCACGCGACTAAAAGTCACGGCGTCCCCCACGAAGAGGCAAGAAACTCCTTGGTCGTGATGGTCGAAGCGCACGCGGTTCTGACGCTGAACGAGCCCAGCGTGGCTCAGCTGCTGGGGCAAGTTGGTATGGATGGTACTGGGCCAGTGAGTGAGAAGAGTAATTAATTAGAAGTGTATTGTGTTTTGTATCAAGGGTCTATGGTAAAGGAAAGGGGCGTAAAAATATGCTAACAGTCAAAAACATCTGCTTTGAAATATTTAATTATTTAAGATGATCCGTAAATTGTATAAGAAGATGAAATTTATACACATGTATACTGTACCCGCCACTTCCATCTGCGTGGAATAGCTATTTTGGGCATCATATTATTTTTATACCTATTACCCACGAGGTTGGCCGCATCCCATCGTTTTTGCAAGTTAATGTTAAAAGATAGACATATACTGTCGCAGACATTTTTTAGATCGTTTAAAGAAAAATCATTCTATCGTGTTTTTAGTTTCATTAACGGGTTTCTTTGCGCACTTAACTGAAGCCCTCAAAGATTTTCCTCAATGTATCTCAAAATTAAGCAGTTAAAATTAGTACGGAGATTTTGCATTGGTGAAGTATTGTATCTTATGAGCGACTAGGACGTTGCTGGTATTCTATATCTAAACAATATGCTCAAATTAAAATTGTAAACATAGGTGCCTTTACCACAGACCCTAAATACAAAACATTCTACTGTCATATACTCACTACTGGTAAGCGGCATTAAATTGTCAAAATATACACAAGTCAATTTATAGCAGTATATATTTTGGATGCATATTTTTATACAAACTACGAAGAGCAATAATTTTCTTGATAAACTCAAATATTTATACTGTATACAAATTTTATATATTTTTTATAATCGTCGCGGTTTGATGGTCCTATAAATTTGAAAGCATTGCTAATATGCTCTTGAAAAAGATAAATTTGTATGAGATATAAAATCTAAAATAGATTTTAATTTAAGATATATAAGTGAAAAGTATATTTGGCAGGAAAATATAATATTTAACATATATAAGAAACGGTTTATATCTCAATCCAAACATTTCTATTTTTGTAGATGTTAAATTCGTTCTTTAATGTCATTATGTATCTTAATATTGTATTTTAAATGGAATTGCATATGATATTATTATCACTGAAATTACTGAAACACTATTCCGACAAAACTAATAATAGTGAGATAAGTCTGGTCGACTAATTTAAGTTATTAATAATAATAATTTTCACCTGACAACAATGAAACTTCCTAATACTCAATATTTATTTTAACACTAAAAGAGGGTAGTACAATAATCTTACCAGGGTCTTAAATGAGTTTAAACATAGACTTTACTTTGTATTGTCTATAAAAGTTTAAATAAACCACTTATATCGGCTTAACATGTTACTAAAATTGGTTATTTTTAACTACGACCTGACATTTAGGCGTGTCAGGGGACCACTGCAAAAACATTTAAAACGGCTGGTCGTAGTTAAGAATAATTTAACCTATATATTTCACGTTTGAAACCGTTTAAAGTATTTTACGTATATTCTGTCCACTAAACATAGCACTTGCTTATAAACGATAGCAGTATAAAGTATAACAACGCATAATAACTATACTCAAATACTAATTTGTACATAAATATTAATTTTGATCTCACTTCACTCCAGTCAGTGTCTAGAATTAAGCGTAAAATTTAATAACTGAGATTGCAAAGTGATTTTTAAATGTGTGTGTCATATTATATTTTAGGCGTAGGTTAAGGTTTATATGATGGGCTTTGGGCTAAAAGGAAATATATTTTATACACTGTCTTTATATACAGAATTTCATTGCATGGTACAGGATGTCTCCAAAAATACTTTGACGTAAATCGACCTCAAGTACTTGTGAAGGATGTTGCTAAAATTAAAGAAAAGTGCCCACGATTATTTCCAAAACTTTAAGTATTTCTTCTATATGTTATCATAGCTCCAAGTGTTTATTTTGTTCGTAAAAATATCTTATTTACAAGGTATTTTAAAAACTAGATGGCGGTACTGTCAAAACCTATTTTAGTTGCTGGTCACTTAAAAACAAACGAAACAAGACCTTGGGCATTTAAAATATAAATTAAGGTCATTAATATGAAGATAACTCAGGTTATTAATTTCTGGATTTACTGGGACACGCTGTATTTGTATAAAAAACGTATATTGCACAGCTAACTTGTGTGTTATCGATCAATTTATTAAAAGAGTCCTTGCTTCAGATAATAAGGCCTATTCAAATGTATTTTTGTGGTATAGGTACAACTGTATACTCGAAAGTGTTTTATAACGGCGAAGTGTCAAACGTATGTAATAATATTGTAGTTAGAGTTGTATACATTTAAATAAAACACTTTTAACTGTTCAAAATGCGAAGCACCACGGCTTCTGCGAAGCGTCCGAAACTTGTACCATAATAAAGAATAAATACGTTAAGTATTATAATTCGCGTTTTAAACCGTTTAAAGTGTTTTAAGATGTTTTGAGTAGAAATTAAACACAGTCTATTCAAATATATATTTGATAATTCAACAATAATTTATTAACACAACAAAATTTAACAGATATTGTAAAGATTCGTATTTTGGGACATATCAACGTGTACAAATGTTTGAAATGAGCTTAAATAAATATACGTAATGAATAAAATGCCTACAAACCTATTCAACAAATAAGAATGCAATTTATATTATATATCTATTATAACATATACTGTAATGTCGTTTATATGTCAATGTTTAATTTTCTTAAGTATGTTAATACTCACCACATACTAATTAACTCGTTTAGTATTATAAGAAAAAGACCACTTAAAATTAGAATCTAAGGATCATTAGGTTAAGTAATAATAAGTTACCAAAGCAATGTTTCGATAAGGATATAGCCATAGCATGATAGAATATATTTTTTTACTATGTAACGTGAAATGGCTTAATTTTATAACTTTGTAACGAAATCGATTTATAATCTTACGGAGTCGAGACAAAATCTTATGACACGACGTGTAACTTATGGCTTTAAATAATCCAGATGTAAGTGACGCCATGTTTAGATGTATTTTTACACTTAAGGAAACTGAGATTGAAATATATTTTTTACGGACGAAATTCCGATGTTTTCCTACAGATCTGTTACAGTTCCCTCGACGGATATTCCCGGTGCAATCTCGACGGTTTTCGTCTCGTCTCTGTTGTCGACGAAGTTGCTTTTGGGCTTCAAAAAATCACCATCAGATCTAGACACGTGGTCGTCGAAAGTATGTCTTCCAGATGGTGAGGTGGGAGTGGGGGGCGCAGATCGCCTCGCCCCCCCGTAAGAGTTTGTATCCGGTGTTATAAGTCTCTTGGGAGGCGCTTGAGTCCTTTCGAAACTACCTTCATTTTCACCATACCGCTTCATAGACGCTCGGTTCTTCGGAGTCTTCTTCAGCATGGCTTGAAAATTGAACGGAGGGTTGTCGTCGTCATTTAGGTCGCCGGTAGACTTGGCTATCGCTTGCAGCTCGCGTATCGGATCGCAGGCCTCCGAATCTGGACCGTAGAAACTGGTGCTTCGTCTCGGAACTGTGTTTTCTCCATCGTCACCAGCCCAGGGGGTGGGCGGTTGGTAAAACTTCTGCGGAGTGGGGACGTATTTCTTATTGTAGAGAACCGGCCTATTTGGGGAGTACTCCACCTTTGGCTCGTCCGGCAATTTTGGCATCGGCTGCGTGGGATCTCTGCAGAAGGGCACGCTAAGGAGGGTCTGTGTACTCTTCGTTCTGGTGGTTGATCCTGAAGAACTAAACCGATGTTTGAAAGGTTCGTCCCACTGCTCGTGGTCTGAATCGTATTGACTGGCAAATGTGTCGCTATAATGAGAAACCAGTACGTTAGAATCGGGGGCGAAGGCACCCTGCGAACTTAAATGCATTAGGAATATAGGTTTAGTCTATTGAATGTTTAAAGCTATATAATTCGCACAATGAAAAGTAAGTCGCAGTTTACCTAAGGCAAAGCAAATGCAAAGGAAATAAATAATGTGCTTATTAAAAAAATGGACTATGAGAAATTTTCAGACTGCAAGGTGGTGTTATGGTGGCGAGAATAAAGTTGGGTCACCATATTCATTATTATTTTTATAGCACCACCTTATTGTCTTTTTCAATAAAGAAAAGCGATACGTACTTGCTCTTAACTTTTGGATCGCACATAGGCGACGTGTCGAAGAACTGAATCTCGTCAAGTCTAAACGGTAGTTTCCAAACGGTCTGCCGTCGGGTGCCCAGGAATTCCTTCCTCGCGTGTGGATCTATACGTTCTAGTAATACTGATGAGTTTGTGTTGAGTAATCCTTCTACTAGAACTTGGTTATAGATGTGGATCTGAAATAGAGTAAAATTTACATTTTTATCTTTCCGATACTTTGAATCACTTATAAATAAATATCTGTCTATTAAATTAAGGATACCTGTTGTGAAAAATTAACCAGGTCCTGGTACCGGAGAGCTCGATACTGGAGGAGTACCTGGAACAAGGATCTGCTCTTCCACTTCCTCGCAAAGCGCTTCAGAAAAGACGACGTCTCTTCATCTATTTGTCCTGTAGACTTATTGACGAGAGGTCCATATGCTTTGCGGACAACGAAGCCTCTATATGCTGGAATATGAAGAAGGAAGGAAGAAGAAGAAATATATACAATATATATACAAAGAGTTAAATACGTTTTAATTTAAATTCACGTACCTTTCTGTATAACCAAGGCAGCCTCTTCATCGTTCATGTTTGCCGATTTCTGTTTTTTTAATTCCTTTACTGAAATGAATGGATGATAAGGTGGTCATTGTGTGGTCACTATCTTGGGACGCATAAAGACGGAAAGCCGTTTACACGAGCATTGTCTAAAGTAACTTCAGTTCTAGCATATATAAGCATAACTTTCATATTAAAAGCGTTAAGAAGCTTAGTATCCAAGCGGGGCTCTGTCCGTCTATATGCGTCCACAGTTCCGGTCTTAATGCTCTTCTTCACTCACTATGCATAGCCTTGGATTTGCTTTGCACAGCTTTCCTCTTCGCCAAAAACGTTCGCATCATGCTTTGTACCTTGACGATTTTCTTGACTTGAGTTTCGTACAACCTGTAAAACGTTGTTTTTGCTTACTCTTATATAACACAATATAAACTAATAATTATTTTTTACCTAGATAGAAATTCTTCGTTATAATACTTTAGGAACGCCTTACTTTTACCCAGTTCCCAACCTTCCATTTTGAGTCTGATCATTAAGAGTCTGCAATTGTCTTTTGTTTCATCAACGTTCTCATCGAAGTCGAATGCCAGGAAACGATATCTGCAAACATATGTTTTTCTTTTAAATAAAACACTTTAACGGTTTAAAACGCGATATATTAGTTAAACTTATTTGAAAATGATTTTTAACTTCGGCCCGACGTTTCGGATGCTTTGCAGCAGCCGTGGTCACGGGGAGACTATATGGAGGATGTTTTTGACGTCAAAGTAAAAAATTGCTACGCTAGCGCCATCCGTTCCGTCGAAGTTGGTATTTGGCGAAACTGGCCGAAGTTGAAAATCATTTTCAAATAAGTTTAACTAATATATCGCGTTTTAAACCGTTTAAGTGTTTTATTAAAATGTGTACTACTCGCGTAAACTATAGACACTATTTATACTTTTTTCTCTTTATCTAACATCAAGAATGAAAATGTAATTAATATGTCCTTGGTATCAAAAATACCTTTTTATAAATTCAGCGAATGGAATGCGGTATGAAAAGCCACATTGTCGCGCTTTTGCTGTGTCCAGAACGGCCATCGCTCTTAACTGTTGTTTTACCACTTCAGTTTGGAAACCTCTTGGGTTGTCGTTTAGGTCGGTGCGGACACATCGCACGAAATGAAGTCCGTTGCTTGTTGAGAGTTGCTTAAGGATTTCTAGACTCGTTACTCTAAAGGTAGCCGCCGCTGTTCTCATTCTTCGTACTTGTGAGTATTGCCCTTTGGAGACAGTATTGAATTTCTGCAAGAATTATTATCAAAAACTGTGTGTAAACCTACACAAAACACTTTGAAATCAGTTTATTTTAGTCTGAATGTTTAAACGTTAACACAATTACACGGCATCATTAAAAATAATAAGGAAGTTTTATTATATCGCTACCTACCCTAGCTTTAATATTCTCCTGTTCTTTCTGTGATTTCGTTCTGTTGGCGCCCGATTGAGACTCGTTAGGAGCCAACGTTAAATTGCCAGTTTTGGTAAGCCTATTTTTGAACAACTGCTGCATTGTAATGTTCGTCGATGCCCTCATTGTCTCAATCATTTCTGGTGGAAGGAAATCTTTATTCTTATCAGCCATTTCTCTTGTATCATAATTAACTTTTCCCGTGTAGTGCGCTACGCTGAATTCATGACTTCCAGCTAGTTTTACGTATGGACCTTTACAGGATGCTCTCACAGTACCTGTGAAAAAGGAACCACATACTTAATATGCTGACACATTCGTTTATCTCAATAACTTGCGTTATTTGTCTTACTCATTATAAAATCTTGTCCACCACTAGTACGGCTGGCTTCATCTAATATGTAAAATATGCCATGCGGTTTTGCTAAAAGCTGGTCGACTGAGTTTTTATTATCGTAATAATGCAGCGGTAAAACTTGCACTTCGTCTTCCTCTTCTTCTTGCATTTCCCACGCAAATATCTTCTGGTTATATAGGAATTGAAGCTGTTCGTTTGTCGTATTGACAATTAACTGCTCCAACCTATTTCTGTGATAGCATTCGAAACCGAATATATCTATTAAGCTAACGGAGAATTTGTCACCACTAGAAAACAATAAGGTTATGATATCAACTTTGCTTTTTATGTTAGTTCAATGTTATAAAATCATAAGTGTACTTACAAGACTTGTCGCATAAAGGAAAGTTTTGAGTTAATCAAATTTATCATCCAGTCAATCAATCTTTTGTATAATGTACTGGCCAAAGTATCCCTCGCATCTCTAGCCTCGTCAGTAGAGTGTTTGCGCTTCACAGCGTTACCATTTTCGATCAAACAGTAATTGAGCAAAGCCCATAAGAACTTAACTTCATCAAGCGATAGAAGCTTCGCGACTTTTTTGGCTTCATCTGGATTTTCAATTTCAGCGGAACCGCTCTTTCCATCCCTGAATCTTACGTTTCCTAGAACCAGTATCGCTGCTAACCCAGTTTCGAAGAATGCGATTTCATCGTCTTGCCAATCTAACATTTTCAAATACTCTATTATATCTTTGTAACGCTTTACATTATCTTGTGGGTTTTCTCGCGCCCCCTGAATGCCCCTTATAGAGTCATCCAGAATCCTGAGATATCTGTGTTTTCTGTTTTTCTCTAAATATAGTTCACTTAACTTGTTTTCCGCCTCTTTAGCATCGTAAAAATAGTACATTATATTGAAATTGGCATGGGACCTGGAAACAAATTTATTTAAATCATTACAGCATTCGTATAACGATTTTCTTACGGAGTACCTACTTACATATCAGTTGATGAAACTCTCCATTTCTCCAATTGATACAACCAGAATATCGCTCCACTCAATTTTGAGGAGCTACCGTATGTTACTTGAATGTGGAAAATACCTCTCGTAGAATTCGCGTGAATAGGTGTGGCACCGCTTATACAAGCTAAGATGACAGTAGTTGCATTTTTTATTCTCTCCCCTGTATTATTTTTCATAGCGCCCAAATGCGTTAGATGGGAGAGTGCGTGGAGTACGCTTGTCGTTTTGCCGGATTTGCTTTCCCCAGAGAAAAGTATGTATTGTTGTTCATTGTGGTGCAGAGCGTTTTGATAGGCGCTATCGGCGACAGCAAAAATGTGTGGTTCGTTGTCTGATCTAGACTTGCATTCATACTTCTTGTGATACTGAAAAAAATAAAAAATATATGTGTACCTATTGTGTTTTTTGAACCGCCTTTGGGGATCAATGTTGCCATGAGTTCTTCAAATCCTGGTAAAATATAAAACACTTTAACGGTTTAAAACGGGATATATTTTAGTTAAACTCTTTGAGAATAATTTTTAATACGGCCCGACGATTCGCATCTTTTGCAGCAGCCGTAGTCACGATGAGACTAAAGATGTTATTGTATTTAAAAGTTTAACTAAAATATATCGCGTTTTAGACCGTTAAAGTGTTTTATTTAAATGTGTACTAGTACAATGCGCTTAAACACTGTAGTTTACACTACAGACAGTTTAACTTAGCTTCTGTCAAAGCGCACAAATCGATCAAGGAAACAGACCCACAAATGTGTCCGACCTATGTTTCAAAGGAAGTATGTGGAATTTCATATACATTTTTTTCTCTTATTAAAAGTTCTACAAAACGAATACAATTACAGAAGATTTTTATACGGTAAGAAAAATAAAAAATCGTCTAGACACTAGTTTGGTTACATACATAAACATTTTTAACAATTTAAAAATCGAAAATTTTTTCAATTTATTTTCGATTTTTAAATTATATAGTGCCTTCAAGTGCAATACGTGAAAAATATTAATGTTTTCAAACATTTTTAACAAGGTTAACTTGGAAATATATTAAATACTGTCTATAGTTTACGCGAGTAGTACACATTTAAATAAAACACTTTAACGGTTTAAAACGCGATATATTAGTTAAACTTGTTTGAAAATGATTTTTAACTAATATATCGCGTTTTAAACCATAAAAGTGTTTTATTTAAATTGGAAATATAATAGTGACCATCATAGCTGCTGTAAAGAACCCGAAGTGGGAGTTGTTTATTCTAATATAGATCGCTCTGTTCTAGTATCTAGTATCTGTATTTATAATATATTTATAATTTTTTACCTCCTCATTATAAATATCGATATCAGACGTATTAGGATTCAATATTAACAATATATCCCCAATGAACGACATAAATGAACCCTTTTCTAATTTCGTGTGAATTTCAGTTAGAATATTGTCCTCAGTCAAATATTCTAGAGCAGCTAAATCTTCCACTTGCATCGTCTCTGGTTCATGTCTCCCTTGTGTGATGAGAAGTCCATCTTTGATTATACGTTCCGGTTTCTTCGGTGGTAGTTCCTTAGATTGAAGGTCGTTCGCTAACATTTTTATCTCTGTTGATAGCTGCAACCGTAAAAGTGTAGATTATTTGTTACGACACCCGTAATCTACTTAACTTGGCTTTATATACTCACGTGGAAATCATTTTCCGGTACAGATTGTATAAATGGATGTTCTTCTAATTCCATTACGAACGGCCTGTGCTCTGGATTCTTTTCAAGGCATCTGAAAATGTATGCCTTATAAATTTCTCAATGTGTATATACTGCACGCGGTAATAAGAATTATCAGAATGTATTGTTATATACGCTTTATTGCAATAAATATATAAATTACTCACTAAAAGGGAGGACAATGATTACCCTTATAGATTACATGCGATCTCTTCCCGGCAATGCAAATAAAAAAGTGCAAAACTCTATACATACAAAAAAAACACGGATAATCGGAACCTAACTTTAACCGCCACTGTGATTCAGTGGTGAAACGCATATCCTAGCATTGCGTAAAGAGCGAAATGTTCGTGGTTCAAATCTTGGGGAAATATAATAGTGACGATTAGATAGGGCGCAGAAGTCTGAGCATATGTCGCAAAATAAATTGATAATTGATACAGACACAGACATGTGCACTACACCACCGTAAACCTAACGGACAAAATAATACGTATTGATCTACAAACATAACTACAGTATTAACTAAATCTTACTCATTGATGAAGTCATTGATTTCATTCGATGACATAGCTGGCTTAATTACACCCGGGGGAGGGTTTCTGATTATTTGAAACAGCGCCCCTGTCGGATGCATGTCTTCAAAAGGCCCTTTACCATCGACCATCTCTATAGTAGTAATTCCCAGGGCCCAAACGTCCACTCTATTGTCGTAACCTTCTTCCCCCCTGTTAGCCATTTCTGGAGCCATCCAACTCGGGGAGCCGATATAAGTATTCGCTTTATCTAGAGCGTCCTTTAATTGACAACACAAAGAGAAGTCGCATATTTTTATTTCACCATTGTTCTTTATTAGTATATTGCTCGCTCGGACGTTGCGATGCATAACTTTGTTCTCATGGAGGTAAACGAGTGCCTGAAATTTACATATTTAAATGAATGGCTGTGTACGATAAAATATTTTAATTTCAATACGGTATAGGTTCAAAGTTAAGATTGACTAGAAAATTATGAGATCACACAACTATACGGTTTCATACAAAATAGTTTTGATTGGTCTGTGGAGATTTTGTGTCTTATATCAGTCCAAAGTTTGAAAGAGGGTGTCGTGTTGAAGATGCAAAGTCGGCGGTCACGGGTATCATCACAAATTTTGTGGTGGAAGTCTTTAAAACTACCAAGTAGCGTTGAACCAGCGGTTTATGCTCTTAAAACTACGGCTGATGAGACCACTGCCCATCAGTGGGGTATTAATGTGTCGGAACGAAGAATGATATTTATAATAAAATATCGTTAATAAAATAACAGAAGGTTTTTTATTAAGATAATTTTCTAAAATCAAGCTAAGAATTGAGGCCGCTGAAGGAATAGTAGCCTAACAGCAATATCATGAATAGACTTATTTATATTTTTTGTAGTCTAAAAACATACATCTACAAGAACACAGTGACCGAAAATTGTTAACATAATTCTTACACAAATAATAGTACAAATTCATTTTCTCCTAAATTAAATGAAAACCTAGTTTTTGTTATTAGGCCACCCTGTCCTTAGCAGCCTCAGTTATGAAGCGATATCCGAAGTATTCAATATGCAAATCAAACAATGTGTTACATGAAACGACCACATTGTTGAGAAAGTGAACCAATAGCGGGAGTGATGTGACACGGAGTGATGGAGCGACCGCCCCAACAAATGGCCTGTGACGCCTCAATGACGGCACAATCAACGTCACTCAGTTGCCCACGCCCACGCCCATATGATTCATTGGGAGCTATTTGCATACGTACAGGGCCTGTCCCACTTCTGATTTATCAGTCGCTTAATGTGTTCCGTGCTTGATGTAGGGCTGTCAATTCTTGTATTGTAAAATTTGCTTATGGCTTAAGACTCGTGGAAATTAAGACTAATACATAAAGCTAAAGAGTTTGCTTGTTTGAACGCGCTAATCTCAGGAACAATTGGTCTTAATTGAAAAAATATTTTTGAGTTGGTTAGTCTATTAATCGAAGAAGCTTTAGGCTGTAAAATATCAGGCTGTGTTAAATAGGAGCGAATAAACAGCGGGAAATGTGGAAAAAACGGGGAAATATTCATCTTTGAGGGATCTCGTTGCGCGCGCTTCGCAAATGGTTAAGATAAGGAAAAAATATATTTGAAAGAATAATTTCTATTTAAGTGATCTAAAAAAATTACTACTACAGTTCCACCCGGTTCAGGAACCACTGTTCATAGATAAACAAGCCGTGATGCAAATCGCAATTCATTTTCAGTCTGTGAATTTCCGAATATCCAGAGCGAAAATAGGTCGACAGCAGGACTTGTTTAAATGTTATATGCGAAGTTCCTTCCATCAAGCGAATCTCATGTCTGTCTTCTTCTACCATACAAAAATACTTATATAGTTTTATTTTATGTTGCCTACATCATTACAATCTTTGTATTAGAGAAGCCATATTATCTATATCTATCTAAGTATCAATTAATATAAGAAAAGCACTACAACAAGACGTAAGAAGCATCGAGTATTAACCAAGTGGTCTACAGAGATAATATCCATTTAGAATGTTCTAATTTATATAGAGCTCTAAGCCACGCGCCGCAGCGGGGATTTCGGGCTGTATTCACGAGCGGGTAAGGGAGAGAGCGTGGTGGACGGAACCAGTCTCGTGGGCCATTGGCTACCGCCACCCTGACCCGTATATCTTCTGTGCGCGAGCATTATTTACGATAATTGAGCGATGCACCGCGATGGGGGGGCCATCACGCTGTTGTCGAGCGAACAGACATTCACATCGACAACTCGGAGCGTCCGCGAATCACAACGAATAATCGTAAGTCTGTGGTCTGCTATACACGGCGTACAGCGTAACGCGATATGCATAAACAGTGCTAACGTACAGCTCAGGTTTTTTGTATAAAGGATAGACAAGTGAAGAGTTCAATTGATGGGAGGTGAACTTCCAGCCATATAACATTTCAACAAGGCCGTCGGACTATGTTGGCTCTGGATATCCACTGCCTGTAACCAAAAAAAAATCGCTGTTTCAACCACATTTAAAATCGGATGTCCAACATGTATCAGAAAAATTAAAGTTTATTAGAAACACGTTGGAATTGGTGGGGATCGAATCCGAGATCCTTTTATTATTCACACGTTGCAACCATTCTTACAACAAGCTCGTCAAAATACAAGTTCTAATTTATTTTAGTAGTCAACAGACAATGCATTAAACTCGATTTTGACACGTCTCAAAGTGTATAACACCTGCGTGTAAAGGAGACAACAATAGTGGTACGTATAGTTAGCGTCGTGTCGTACTACATATGTTATGGCGCTGATAGGAGACCGCAGCCCTATGGCCTTAGTACGGGGCCGATATTTCATTTGGCGACGCGGCGACAACGCTGAATGTTGATACGAGAACAATTGAGTTTGCATTCGGAGTAACTACCAATTGATTCTGTGGGATTGGCAGGGCCTTTGTTTTGGTGTGGTGACGAGCGACATGTTTATGGTCCTTACTCACCTTGATCGTATATTTGAGGATGTAAGCGATGTGCTCCTCGGACATTTTTTTGTCCGCCGCCTTCAGCTTTCTGACAATATCGATGACAGATCCAAACTCGCATAGCTGCAAGCGATATATTATGAGTTGCGGCAATATATTTGTGACAAACCAATTCGGATGGCGTAATTTATTTCGTATTGTGCTCAATGCATATTGGGACGCAGGTCACTTGATGGTATTGAAAGGACAATCATATTTATAGGTTTATGAAGAACGAGAACGACGGCGTAGTAGATCACAAGACATGCCCATAAAAGGTTGTAACATAGAGACGGAATATCAAATCTGATATTTATTTTAAATAATAACTTACCTCAATAACAAACCATATTTTCTTCACATATTCAGATCGCTCGCAGAAGACACCATAAAAGTCGATAATGTTGGGATGTTTCGTGAAATCCCTCAGGATCCTGTATTCATCGTGAACGTGCTGTTCTTTTGTATCTGTCAAATTTATCACTTTAACAGCTACGGACTTTCCCGCGGCTTGGTCGTCGGAGGCTTGGAATACTTTTCCGAAAATTCCCGAGCCGAGTTTCTTTTCGATTTTGTATCTGTCATGGGGACTCGACAGCGAGGATACGTTTAACCCGTCTCTCATTCTGACTTCGTACATGGCCGAAGATTCATTAGTCCCTTTTAGGAAAAGTTCGTAAGCGGTTGGGTTGTAAGTCTAAAAACAAAGTATTTAACTTGAAATTTAAAATTCAAATAAAGAACTTCTATTACGATTTTTAAATTGAAATCGGAAAAATGGATGTAACTGAATTCGAAATTCAAACTGATGAGTTCGGAATTTAAAAATACACTTACCGTGTCCGTCTATTGCGGTATCACGACTTACAGTGAAAAACTAAACGAGTGGACGCGAACACTGAAAAGTGCTGGGGCTTCACAGTATTAAGAACAGGTAATCCGTTTACGATACCACTAACACTATTATGGATGGTGTATATCAATACTGCGTTACGCTATATTAATGACCTGGATGGACAAAACGACGTGAATTATAATGTGAGTCGCTATGTAAATTTAAGAAAATTTCAATCGAATTCTTACTATATATATATCGATTGTTAGAAACATCTATAGGTTATCGAAAATAGTCTAAAATGACTTTATTCGATATTATTATTTATTGTGCCCTGATTGTAGCTTGTTATAATCAAATTACATTCTCCTGTTATTACAATCAAGTTTAAATTAGAATAAAAATATACATTTTCAACTGACATTTTATACACCGCACTTATTTCCCTAAGCTTATCTGTACATTTAATTTTAAATAACCCAGAATCGTTGTCGAATTAATGCATGTATTGTAATAAATAATATTATGCGCAGTGGGAACACGTAATGTTTTATAAATAACACAAAGTTGTTAAGTATTTTGTGACTAAGTAATGAATTTTTGAATAACATATATTTTGACGGACTTTTTTTTTAATGTCATAGTAGCAATCTATGGCTCAGCGATTTGCGTGTTCAATCCGAACCGGGTCCAACATGTTTTTAATCTATTTATAATGTTTCCAAAACATGTTGGAATTCGTCTGGAAATCTGGATATTAAATGGTTGGTAGGAATCGAAAAATATCGTCCAGTTTAAAGGAGTTTCATTTTCAGTTGTGAATTTCCGAAAAAAAACCTTTATTATTTTTTACTTGTACTCAAGGCACTATATAATTTAAAAATCGAAAATAAATTAAAAAAAAAATTCGACTCGAGCAGGACTTGAAACGGCATCGTCAGCGTTCCGTGCTGTTGCTCTACCAATTGAGCTACCGAGTCAGTTGAAAATCCAAGACCGAAATAGATCGACATCGCATCTTGTAGATGTTAACTACTATCGAACATCAGGCTTGTCTGTTCTCCTCCATCATATAAACATACTTACCTCGCCTCACTAGTTCAACATATCTATAGATGAGGAATGTCCAAATTAATAATTCATAGATCGTCGCCGCATAGATGACTGATGGGATTTTACACCTATCGTAGAACGTTGCGCTTATCTATCATCTGACATAAGAATCTTATTCATACGTTTATCTAAAATCGATACCAAACAATAACCCTGTTTACTACTCAAAAAACGCCTTTGTATCGGATTAGCCCAGTTAGATGAGATCGATTACCTTTTCAAGACGACATACCGTTACTAATGTTTTTGACATCAGAAGCAAATACGTTACGTGCTACAAATACAATAAAAACTATTTGTTACTTAGTACAATGAACGCAGTGGGCATGCATATTGCAACACTGATCTATCAAGTTGAATTGAAGTTAGATTCTTTAGAATTGATCTCATGATTTTCATTCTCATCGTTTTAATGTTGAAAACCTTTTTTTATCTGGACGCGCTCGTTTGTCTAATGGTAGCAATGTATGGCTAATGAAGGGCCGTGGGTTCGATTACCACCGGGTGTAACATGTTTAAATTTTTTCAGAAACACGTTGGACTACGTCTGGTAATTTGAATATTAAATGGGTGATATAATATATAAATTCTGTCCGGGTCACGAACCGCCGACCACAGATGAAAAGGGCAACGTTTAATCACGTTTCGGTTGCAGTCTTTGTATTGTCGAATTTCCAAATCCAAAAGGGCGACAGCGCATCTTGTTTAGATCCTATAGGCTAGAGTACATCACCTACCATCAAGTGAACGCCGTGCTTCTCTGTCTGATAAGAATAAGGTTTACGTAATTATTATGCATAAAAGATAATTCTGTAAAGAAGTATATAGAATCAAATGTTACTTTCAATTATTATTTTTACAGACTGTTTATTAGTATAATAGAGATTCAGGATGTGTGTATATACAATAAAATATTTTATATATCGTACTCTTGTGCTATTTGCGTTATATTAGTGTGTAATTACTGTAGAGAAGATAAGTAAAAAGTTAATTGAGATTTGAAAATTGTATTTAAACATTCCATACAAAATACCTAAGCTACAATAAATAATAAATAATTGGGAACAAAGTGGAATGATCATTTACAAAATGGTATGATAAAGTGTAGTTTATACGAGTGGTAAATATTAAACACCTTTAACGGTTTAAAACTATAACGGTAATTATATTAGATAAGTGACGCGAAATGTCGGCGTTGTTTAAAATTAAACAAATAACTACTATAGTTATTTTTATAGCATTGTAGTTGGAAACCGTTAAAATGTTTCATTAAAGACTTAAGCACTATAAATATTGTACAAAAGCACTAAGATATTGTTATCTCCCTCATAATGCTCGAGTGCGAGTAGGACAACAATCTTTATTCCGTTAAAATGTGATTATCGTCTAGATTTTAATACTGACAAAAGTTAACAGAGATTAAAGCTATTTTCCGTACCATCTATACAGGTTTAGGTACAAGTTATAATTACTATTAAGACTATTAAGTACAGAATATAAGAAATTCTACTTAAGTTATAATATATGTCAGCTAATACATCGTCGTTTTAAGCAATCTCTGCTCCACAGCTGGACACAGTTCTGAGCCCTCCCCCCCCCTCTTCTAGAAGAGAAAATAGATCGACTACGCTTCAGTGTAGATGGGTGAGGTTTAACCACTGAATTAGTAGTGATAATCAGCAGCTAAAAACCCTAATTGCGAACTACTGTCTTTTGTCTAAATTAAGAATACGTAATACTGTTTAATAACTTATTTCTAAACCATTTTATTTTATAATTCCTCGAGTAAGTGCATTTCAGAATCTTTTTACAGTAAAATCTTTGATCATTCGGAAATTTACAAGTGTCTAAGATATAGCAGACTGTAAAAAAACACATTTTAATAATTAAACTGAAATAATTGAAAAAAATTATAGATCAAAAAGCGTAACATCTATAAATATATGTACTTATGATACTTATTACAAATGTATATAATAACTACGCCAAACCAGTCAGTCATATATACAAAAAACTGAATCATTAACATTCTTTGATTGTTTCAAAGGCAATTTCAGTGTAAACTAGTAAAGCCGAATGTCCGTTTCAGGCCACAACCGAACATAAGAAAAAGTTATTTGGCACGACGTAACAAACAATTGTATAAGGTAATTATAATTGATAATGTTAGTAATATTAATTTATTTCAATGGGGAAAACAATTAATGAAAATCCATTTGTGTCCCCTATTAGGGTGAAGGGCTTCCCTCTTTTAGCCTTAACTTTGAGTAGTCAAATTACACATCAACGTCCGTTCGTTCCGTCCATTTTACGTTATATGTTATGGCTATTTTACTCAAAATTAGAACATACTTAAAAGTTTGAATTGTCATTTACAAACTGCTACCCACTTGTCATCTTTACACTTCTCACAGTCAACTTTGCAGCACCAATGAAATGTGCAGTTGCACGGTTTGACGCTGGACTTCCTAATGAGATCGTGGCCTCGTCCGCAGCAGAGGAGGTCACAGGACCCAGTTCTGGATGTTCTGCCAACGCGGCAGACCCGGCCCGAAGTGCCTAGGGAGTCTAGCTTCGAATCCGCCTCGCAATAGCTTGGGGATCTGAAGAAATGAGTGAGAGTGTTTAAAAAAAAAATTGTACTTTAAACAATTGTAATAATTCGAGGGTAGTTTTTATCTATTATTTATCTTTAACACAACACATTTATGTAGTATAAATGAACACAAATGCAACTGTATGTACACTGAACGTAACTTTACCTACAATTATAATATTTTGAACATCTACAAAGAAGTTTTAAATATTCAAACTGAATGCTTAGTATTTCATATCATTCAATTTTCACAACTCACTTTTCAAAGAACAGCAGACTTGTCTTCGGAGCTGGTCGCGGTCTACTCTTCCTTCTACCTCGTGGTCTTCCTCGTAATACTGACACGCCATTGTTTAGACCCTCTTGTGCTACCATCAAAGCCTAAAAATAAACATAAATTAAAAATAGTCATAGGATTAGTTAATTCTGAAACCTATTTTTGAAAAAAAAAAAAATTGGGGGGGGGGGAAAAGACTGTTTTCCACGCACAGAATTTTCATTTGGGTGCCCATTTTGATGGAATAAATTAAAATTAAAAATCATTATGGAAAATTTGGGGTGTTCCGGTTGCTGTAAGTTACTTTATATAGTGCTTGAAATTATTTCTTAAAATGACAATAAATTATGGTGCCTGGTTTCTGGTGGAAAACATGAAAATTCAAATTTAATCATTTCAACACAAAATGTTTTTAAACAACAATACAAAACCATGACTTACTTTTCGATACTGTCTTTTGATGGTGGTAGCCACAATCCTGAAGTCTGGGGTAGCACGCCAGCAAGTGCGCAGTTGGCAGCTACCAGATAAGCCGTGACACTTACATCGAACCTCCATGTGCGAAGCTAGTATCTAAAAAAGCAAAAAATAATCTTTTAAATTAAAAATCTACGCACTAAAACACACACGCCATCCACAGCGTTCCAGAGCAACCACTATGCACAGGAAAGTAAGTTGAAAACTCTAATGTGTTTCACAGCATAAAAAGAAATTGCTTTTACTATCCGTGTCCACGTGGTAGTCCAATTTTATAGAACAACAGCACTGAACGCCGTGGATGCCGCAAGTCCTGCCCGTGTCATAAAATTTTTCCATCTTAAATCGACTTTTAATTTATATAATCTCATCAAGTATAAACGTGTAAAAATATAGTTTTTAAAGAATCTAAAAATTAAATACTGTCTATAGTTTACGCGAGTAGCGTTTTAAACCGTTAAAGTGTTTTATTTAAATGTAAAAAAAAAAAAAAAAAAAAAAAAAAAAAAAAAAAAAAAAAAAAAAAAAAAAAAAAAGGGGGGGAAAAAAAAAAAAAAAAAAAAAAAAAAAACCCCCCCCCCGACCAACGGGAAAAAAAAAAAAAATAAAAAAAAAGTTTTGGAAAAATTTTCTACCGTCCGCCCCGTCCTCTTGCAAGTTAACTAGAAAAGATACTACTCGCGTAAACTATAGACAGTATCGATATAGATATCATTATTTCATACTTATTTTTTTGGTATCTTAATCCGTTTTCACAGCGTACGCATCGAGAAATCAAAAAAAGTTAAATAATTTTTCCCTGTCTTATTCACAATTCCAGTTTTATATAGCCTATATAACCCGATAAATGCTCTAAGTAAGACAAAAGATTTTTAAATTCGAATTAGTAGTTCCTGACATTAGCGCGTTCAAATAAACAAACTCTTCAGTTATACTTTAGTAGCTGTCGGTCCCTATAACTGTATTCCATGTTCATTAAGAAGTAACAACCATTACAGATCCACAATACCTAACGCATTCCCCATACAATCCAGTCGATCAAACTATCCGCGATATAATTTCGCTCGCCCTCAGTCGCCGATAGAGTTATTGCATTCCGTCAGTCATTTTTCAAAGGCGGCGGACGGAATCATAAATTTCCCGTAGCTACGTGACCGCATCTCGCCACAATTACTCGAACCACCCACCGCTAGCTCATAACATTTACATAATTAAACGCCTCGCTGTAATCACGTTGACGTCTTAATTTCGCGTGCGCCCGCCAGCGGAACAATTTCCCAAATTGAGTCGGTACGAAAAATTCAAATAAATGTGCGCGCGTCCCGCCTGGATCCCTCGCATTAATAGCGTGGTATTAGGGCCGCGATACAATTCGCCACCCAAGTTGCGAGTAAGGCTCGCCGCACACGGGTACGACTAAACTCTGCCAAAATTTTGGTTTTTAGACATTAATTAAAGAATGCATACTCTTATTATTAAGAACTATTTTTTACATTTAGAAAACACGCCTATAATACGGAGGTAGTTATGAATAGTCTATCCTGGTGTTATTGTCGTGGTATGGCGTTGTCGGAAACTTTCATGTTTTTCACATGATATTGCATATTATACATACATATTATGTATAAATGAAAAAAATATAATAAAATAAAAATCATTCATGTGTCAATAGGTGTCAAAAGTTCGATACCGTGTAGGACTCGGTAGCTCAATTTGTTAGAGCAACAGTGCGGAATGCTGTAGATGCCCGTTCGAGTCCCGCCCGTGTCGTATTTTTTTCAACCTAAATATAGATTTCACAAAATTTTCTATCTTGTCATATGACTATATGACCGCCTCTGTAGTGGTTAAACGTATTGCCTAGCATTGCGTTAAGCGCGACAGGTCCTGTGTTCGAATCCCAGGGAAACATAAAATTGTTATGGTCGGGCATATATAAGTGTACTTCTCCCGTTAAAAGAAGCGACACAGAATATATTCCCCCCCCCACTATAAAAACGGAAATTCACATTTCACATATGGCTATATAAAAATAGGAATCTGAGATTTTATTGTGATCTTACTTTTAGCAATATAGATAATATTTCTTTAAGTTGATCAGTTATTTACATAAAACTAACCTTATATTACTATAAGATACCTAAATAACCTTTGAAATGGATAACAAAAAAAAATTTAAAATAATATAATAATAACCCTTATGTGTCTATTATTTCGGACTCGCTAACCCTGGCAAACTTTTTTTACTATCGCACATAGCCATTTACTGTTACGAATATTTCTTTAAATTATTTATTATTAACTTTATTATCTAACTTTATTATGTTACATATATTTTTATTTTGAATCGTTTTTTCGCGCATGCAACGGATAACGAAGGATAAACAACTTTTTCCCTTGTGTAGGTGTTTCCCCCCCCCCCCTTTTTTTACGTTTTTGTAGGTTGTAGCCGGTATTTTATAGTCTAAAGGCTACCTCGATAAATAGTCTAACGAACGCGAACAGAATTTTCCAATTCGAAAAAGTAGTTTCTGAGATTTGCCCGTTTATATAAACAAACTCTACAGCTTTATAATATTCATATAGATTATTCAAAGCTTTTAAATAAAATTAGACAATTAGTCCAAAAATGTGTCTCGTACTAATATAACAACTTTTAGTTTCAGACCGCTATATGATTGCGGTTGTGAGGCTCTGTAGCCGGTGTGCAGCAGGCTTTATAAGAAGTAATGAAGCCGGAATATTAAAAATGGATGCGAACCTCTCATTATGTTCTCACCTCGGCGGGCGGTTCGTGAAATGCGGCCGTTAATACGTCGGGTCTATCAATAGTTTCAATAAAGCCACTCTCTACAACACTTTAGCCCGAGACCCAACTAATTGTTATGTTGTATTGATTTATTGTTCCGTAATTTTGTGGTCGAGACGCTTTCGCAATTTATGAACCCATAATATGGTACATACGAGTAAGAGATAGTTAACGGCTTGGTATATTATTATTTCAACTATTATAAGATAACTCCATACACAAAGTGGCTTCAGAAATTTATTGTTTTTGTTTGAATTAGTGTAGGTACTGGAACGCAACCAATTTATAGTTCGTTATTCTGCCGCTTGGGGCGCTGCTCCCTTTTTGTGGATTCAAGTGTTGTACATAACTGATCTCATAATTAAAAGTTTATTGATTAAACTAAGTATTTCATTTACCACATCCACGCATAATCATTCAGTTTCAACAAAAACGCTTTCGATGGTTTAAAACTCGAAATGTATTTGTTAAACTTTTTTACAAATTATTTTAACTACGACTCGGTGTTTCGACCTCGTTTTTTTCGGTCGTATTGAAGTTATCAAACACCTTGGATCTCATATTACAAACATTAGATCCAAAAGCCAGTATATTGATAAATGCGAGGACACCATTAGTTAGTTCTGCGCGGACATAGCCAGTTTCGCCAAATACCAACTAAGACGGAACAGATGGCGCTAACGTAGCAGTTTTGACTTTGATTTTAAGGACACCCTCTATCGAACAAACATTTTGCGTTTAAGACCACTACAAGTTTAATTTAAAAGTGTATTAAACTCACGTAAACCACAGAAAGTACTTAACTTTGTTTTCTGAAATTTCATGACTTACAAAAGTAATTACTTGTACAAGATACCTTATAATGTCTCATTTTTTTTTATAATTTTTCAACGGTACCAATGTAATTGATGGATTCAACGTGAATATCAGTTTAATCCTATTCATGGTTCCTAATGAGAGCAAAGACATTTTTACAGCACATCTTCATATTTACTTTTACAATTATAAACCACTACACACTGGATTGCGCAAGGTACATTTACCCTTCATTACGATGTCAAGACGCACTTACAGACGTCGTTACCTAATAAAAGCAAAGCGAATAATAACTAAATATTATTGCTTCAATAGCGTGTCATCAAATACTTCACATGTGTTTATGCGGTGTGGATAGACGCACTTATACTTAGTGTAAATATGCCATTAAGAACTGGTTGATGGTGGCAAAAACTAGTCAAATAATACCATAACCTATCATTAAATACAATAGCCCAATTAAAACTGCCTCAAAGTATGTAATTTCGTTGGACGCGTATTCATATTGTGGAGGTGACTTTGTCTCAAGGTCCTCGTCAGGCAATTAGGTTATTATGAAAATCGTTCACTAAACGATGTACACGTATTTAAATGTTGGAATGGATTGATTTAAATAGCTTTCAAGTTTGTACCAATTGAAGAGCAATAAATAGTAACGATATATTATACGCGATATTTCTTAAATCCAGGTATGCATGTATGTAATATTATAAAGCTGGAAAATTTGTTTGCTATAAAACATCATGCTGTGAATAATAGGGGGGGAATAAACAGTTCTATCTTTGAGGGTTTCCGTGGAGGCACCGAAAACCTGGAAGGTACCGAAAAGATATATAAAGGAATAAGTCTTTAAATGATGTAAAAAAGTATGTAATTCGATAGTACTAGTATTTATTTCCCTCTCTCTCAAATCTATTTTTTAAGATAAATTAACAAGAACCGTTTTATGGTAATTAAATTTTGGTCAAAATATTTTATGGCAAAATATCGCCAAGTCTGCTAGTCTAGAATTTTACTTTTTAGACTTTTGTGTATTTTTTTAGTATAAAAGGCATGAGTTACCAATTCCTATTATTGAGCATTCTAATTAAACATTAAACAGTTTAATAATTCATCAATTTTTTTTATAAATAAAACAAAAAAATTTTAAAACTGGTAATATATCCTACAAAACAAAATTGCGATAGATAGAATAGGAGGCAAATAAATATAAAAAAAAAAAAATTTTTAAACTGTAGTAAATATTTAATAATACAACTCCACTTCTGTCAAATTTAAATAAAACACTTTAACGGTTTAAAACGCGATATATTAGTTAAACTTATGTATTTGAAAATTATTTTTAACTTTCGCCCCACGTTTCGGATGCTTTGCAGCAGCCGTGAACAACATCCGTCAACGTCCGAAAAATCATTTTCAAATAAGTTTAACTAATATATCACGTTTTAAACCGTTAAAGTGTTTTATTTAA